TGCGTTCCGACAACTGTTGAAATCATGTCCTTTCTCTAAAATTGCAAATATTGGAGCATAAAGCTTTAACTAATACAAGAAACGTATATTTCACTAAAACACTGTCACTTTTCTTTGAAATCTGTTTTTATCACAAAGACTTAATATGATTATGTATACCACATTATTTTTTAATCAAATTTATGCCATGGAAATCGAAAACGCACAAGGTCTCGCGTGTTGTTTAATGAAAAAGCTACCGGCTGTAAGTTCCACTCCACACGCGTACGTTTTGTCTTCGTTTGTACTTAAGTCAATAAAGTTGGCAACGTCGCAGAGTCAGACGCCAAACAAGTGCACCCGAGCGCCCTCAACGCGCAGCGGCCATTTTGGAAACGTTCGAACATATACGAAAAGAGACGAGTGTGCACGAACTGGCAACAAGCTCGTCCAGCAACCGGTCAATAAGACGATTAGCGCAGCCTCGGCTAACCATGTTCATACTGAAATTCTTTTGTTTATAATTCAAATAAATTTACATAAGCATCTTAAATGGCTCCATTTCATATATTTGTAAATAATATATGATTTAATAGAACAAAGTGTCAGATTGAGTACAAATGTATTTTGTTAAAAAAAATATCGAAGTGATTATTTTTTTCTCAATAATTGCTAAAGTACATTGAATTGTATGTAATGTGCCTACTTTTCTACTTAACTGATTGTAAAGTACTAATTGAACACAGTTTTTGTAAGCTTTTAAACGTTCAAGGTCGTGCTAGAAAGAATAAAAACGTAGCTGTGCTGTAGGTACCTTACATTAGCATTTCTTAAATCTCATTATTCTAGTAAATGAAAGAAATCAATTTATGGAAAAGCATGTCGAATTTGGTATAGAGTTATTTGGTATACATTTTCTATTGACATGTTTATATTGTACTGTAACTGATCAAACATCATCTTCTAAAAGGCTGAGAATATAGCACGCCAGTCAGAAAAATTTAGATACACCTGTTTGACTTGATCTAGGTATCTTATTTATTCATAAATTAGCCCATTTTTCATTTATCACGTATCTGGACGATGAACAATATTCTAATGAACTTACAACTATTGCTTATTACGTACGTACTCATACATATCAATGTACGTAATATGTAGATACATAAATCTAACAGTCCACCCCAGCTTCATCAGCGTGCTATTTTCCAGTGTTTCCGATGACTTTCTGAAATTTTTACACAAACCTTATTTGACGAAAAGCCAAAAAAGATTATTTATTCAATTTGGTAGAATTATTAATAAGTTTCATACTTATGTGCGTTTAAATAATTCATTTTTCAATTAAAACAGTCAACTTTTTTCATTAGATAAAATAACTACGTCGTATAATTTCTTCAATGTATTTTGTATCAAATCAAATAACAATGACACTGAGGGGAAACATCTGGAAATATCAGAATATTCTGCACTGCGATGGATTAATCCGATCATGTTAAAAATTATGAGAACACTATTGATTCAATAAAAAACCAATTCCAATTTCTTTGGTCATCTCATCCCGTGGACTTGACTCTCCTCCATAGGTGTAAGGTAGATACAATGTCATACAACCTCGTTCTTTTTTCTATCAGCATATCTTGAAATCCAATATTTGTTTGTCTACCAGGAATGAAACCGATTTAAACTCAATTTAGCTCAAAGGACTTTTTCACTCGAATTAGCAAGATCGCCTATGTAAAACTTCAGTTACATAAAATAACATAAGTACTAAATAATCTAACTACAACCAGTCTTTTCCGCCCTATGTAACATACACTTAACCCACTAATCCGATCCTAAGCACAAGATTTTGACAATCCTTAAACTTAAGTATGTATAGTGAATTAGTGGGTAAAGTGCATGTTGCTTAAGGTGGAAAAGACAGGTTATACTCACATTAGTTGGTACCTGTCATTTTATATTTGTTTTGAAATGTTATAAACCCAAAGTTTACCGACGTTGAGCGAGATATAATTTTGTAAATAAAGTTAAGATAGGTGTAACAGGTATTCAGTAGCTTGACAAAATGTATGAAAGTGATAAACTCCTTAAAAAGACATGACATGACAAGACTAAAACGTAGGATGAACCGTCTGAGTAGTTCACACATAGTTACCAGTATCACTATCATATCTGTAACTTGACTATATTAATATGCGCACTGCAAGACTTACGAAAATTTTATATTTCTTTTCATTAGGAATATATAATTAGTAATAGAAAATTACCATAAAAATCCACGTAATTACAAGAACTTCAATTCTTATTCTTAATACCAAAATTTACTGTTGACAATCATTTGAAATCTGGAACAACTAAAAACTTGATAAGTAATAGCATTCTAAATGATTTTTAACCTTAAAATAATAAGCGCTTAAAGTTACTCTATTTATTGTTTAGTAATACGCATGCAACTAGATACAATAATATCCTACACACTACTATCAGACGATATCATTTTTCACACAGTCAATGTTTATATTTGCTTATCTGTCCCTATAGATATCGAGGTGGGTTCATTTAAAAATAAAAATACCATTTCAATCAAAATATTCAATGTCTCATACCTAATCAAAGATAAATTGATAAATTTTTTCGAATCTTTCCATTTATGATGATCACCTTCGTTTCATAGAAACCCTGATAAGTACCTATTACTTACCTATGACATTGTTATGTATACATACATCGATATACAGCTGTATGTGTACATGTAGTATCTGCTGTCACATTACTTCGCGTTCGGCACTCGGCAGCCATTTGCTTACAAAATTAGAATGTTAACTATAAATATCGCCTCAAGTATAACACTGAAACCTTTTAATTCACAGAAACAATTTATGTAACACCACTTTTAATTTTTTAGTGTAAATAAAATTATTATAGAAGGAAATAATGAAACTCACCGAGTATTGTGTTTATTAAAAATGAGCACACGATTTCAGCGCTTATTACGTAGGGAACTTTGCTGTGCACGTCGTAATGAATACATGAACAGACGATGTCAGTGACAAAACATTCTGATTGGGCCAAATTAAATACCCCGCCATTTTTCAGCCAATAACTGCGCTAGTCTTAGCTTTATTTTTTGTTTATACTACAATACATAGATACGTTGTCATATTGTGTTCATGCACACATTCACCGAGGAACTGTTTTCGTTTCGCGGTTGTTATCGTGTTACGCTAAATTAGGTGTTATTCCCTATTTCCATAATGCCGTATTTCATAGACGCTCCGCAACTTGAAGTATGTGAGTGAGTGAGTGAATGAAATGACGAACTTGTAATAATAAAATTGTAATGGCGAAGCCATCAGTTTGAGTCGGTGCGGATACGAATCACTTTTATTCAGCGGCATAGTGAGAGTTTCCTAAAATTACAAAGAAAATTGTAAATGCGTGCTAGGTAATAAAGTGGTGTTAAAAATTGTCTTATACAAGAATAAAATATTAGCCAAACAAAGCGATTGAACAGTTACGAAGAAGCAATGTACAATTTGTTGCTTATGTGCAGTGAATAAAGAATTACTATCCTATAAAGTGATCGGTGTGCAATATATAACCAGTCCGGCATTTGCTGTGATGATTTTCATTGATTTATTTGGCGCAAATGGTCTGTGTTGTTATAAATCATAACCTCAATCGTGTATCATTGTGAATACGTCGAACTGTTTTCAATCGCCTGGTGCGGGGTGTAATCCAAGAGTTTACTTTATTCGTTATATATGATTCAACGGGAGTATCAAATGAACAACGGGTTTAGTACAGGAGAAGAAGATTCCAGAGGTAATTCTGACCAAATATGTTGCCTTATGGATGACGGTGAGAGCTGCAGGCGACCAGCAGGCAACGCCTCGTACAGCAAGCGCATTCAAAAGACTGTCGCCCAAAGAAGGCTGAAACTTAACATTGACCCTCAAGTAAGTCACACACATTTTTATTTTTAACTTTCATTACTAATGGTCATGAGTGACTTGGACAAAATCATAGTTATTATGTTGGCTAACTGAATCCCATATGTTATTTGCAGGCAAGGCACACTTACATTTGTGATTATCATAAAACAATGATACAGTGTGCAAGGACAAAACAAAGGAGGCCCAAGGACTCTGAGGACGATAGTAATGAAGCAGAGATGGATTCACCTGAAGTAGACTGGTTCCAATTACAAGTCAACACATTAAGAAGGTATAAAAGACATTACAAAGTGCCAACAAGGCCAGGATTCAACAAAGCTCAACTAGCTGATGTAAGTTTTACACCTTTGTCTTATTATTCGATTTTATCAATCTATTCAAAGTTGTAATATTTGGTTCTATCATTCAAAAATATCTTTTAAATTAATTAACATATGTTTTCCTTATTTTTCAGGCTATCCAGAAACATTTTAAATCATTACCTGTAAATGAAAAGGAAATTATGACTTATTTTATTTATATGGTAAAGACAAATGGTAATAAATTAGACCAGAAAAACGGGATGAACTCTGACTCAGTATAGAATAATGATATGACTGTAATTTATAGTTGAAGTGTGTAGATTTAACATAGTGTAAGTAGATTTATAGTTTCGAATTTAAATTTCTTCTTAATTTTCAATCTGCATTCTACAATAAAACAAAGATATAGATTGAGAATCAATTGCAAAGATATTTGAAGTATATTACTTCATGCCAAATTGTACACCTGCAAAATTCTATATGATTTGAATGAGTGAATGTTTAACAATGTATTATTTTATTATTCCACAACATTTTTCCTTTCCCATCCACATGAAATTTTCTATTTATTGCCTTCAATCTATGTAGTTGATAATATTTTCTGTATTATAGTTGAATACTTTCAGTGTCAAATGATATGATTGTTTACTGACGAGGGACATGCAATGGCTAATATAGTAACTATTAAGAGATTATAATAACAGAAATATTTAAAATGTAAATTTATTACATTTTATTTAACAAGTACATGTGTATTATTTCAGTCTTCCTCAGAATCTGATGAAATTTCTATCCATTGTGAAGCTCCTTTCTTTGTTTGAATTTCTGCTGTTTGAGGTACAGATGCGACAACTGTTAACAATTAATAAATATGGTTAATTTCAACTTTCACATTAGTTATCTAATAAGAAAGAGTTTACACTAGACGCAGTCATGATTCAAATAAATAGTTTATGAAGGACATTAGAAACTACAACCACATAGTAAGGAAGTAGTACTTTCAAAGAATGATAGTTCAATTAAAGGCCACAAGGTGAACCCATTTTGAAAAATGCTTTTGTATAAGATCACAGCATATCTTGTATTTTCTTTAATAAAGATATTTATCTCAGATACTGACCATCATACTTGCTAGGTTCTGGCTCAGAATCATCTTCATCCATTTCATCATTTTCCACAGCATCATCAATATTATAATGTTTTAGCTTTATACTTAAATCCTTTTTACTCAAGCACAGCAAATGGTCCTGAGTAATTACATCTGAGAAGTTAATCTTCGTCCTTTTTTGCCTGGAAATAAATAAAATATTGTATGAATTGCTAAAACTCGATTGCTATAAAATTAACTAAATGCATATAATAATAACAGTTAGCATAAAAACGAAGTGCCAAAATAGTGTTACTATTTCTGCTGTTTGAGTTGTGTACTTCGTTTTTACTTGTAGGTATGTAAGGAAAAATAATATTACATACCTACATACATAACATTACATCTTTAATTCTCTAAATGAGTTGGCACTGTTGGAACGGAATGCATATTGTAATACTACTTTTGTACAAATAAAATTAATCTTATAGTAGCCTAAATAACAAGGGATTATATTCTTGACTAGCTTCTGGCCACAGATTCGCATGCGTTAAATTCCTTCCTCTTGAATCATTCTATCTATTAAAAACAAACTCATCAAAATCTGTTGCATCATTTTAAAGATCTAAGTATACAGACATACAGACAGCGAAAGTAGGAAATGTCCACCTCCTGTAATATAGGACTTGCTTACTTATTTACATTATCTACCAGAATCAACAACTACAAAAAATAATTGAAGGCGAAACTAACCTGAGGGTATCATCATGAACAATAGCTTTCTTCACCATATCAACAATTTCTTTACACTTATCGCCAGCTCCACTCAAAGCTTTATTTAGCAGGTTGGTGCCTTGTATAGCAGCTCCAGTTAAGTTCATAACACATACTTCTTTGTACTGGTTCACTCCGATCACTAAAAGTCCTCCAGCAGTGTCAGACTCTTCTGAGAAGCTAGTGCATACTTGTTCTTCTAGAAAATTGGGGTCTGATAGTAGCACACTGCGAAATTATAAAACTGGTATTAGTTAAAATGTTTTCAGTTAAAAGTGAACTGTAACAAGTACTTGCATACTTTGTAATCATTATCTTTGTTTGGTTAATTAGTTTTAAAAGTGGGTCATGTTCAAAATTCAATTCATTCAGTTAACTAAAATAAAATAAACTTACTCATTATTGAATATAGCATAGGTTGTGCATACAGGATAATGGAATAATACTGTAGGTATGGGATCTCTTTCAGAAATGTCATGTATAATGACACTGTCTCCACTGCGGGTGACATCGGGCCGCCTGAAGTGAGCCAGGGCAGTTATAGTAGCTATACTTGCACATTCTATTATGTTTCCATCATGGTTTAGGACCTTGATGTCTACTCGTAGGGACCAGACCTGGAAGTTACAAGACCTTTGTTTATAATTTTATTAATGAGGAAATATTTTTCTTTCTTCTTTTATGTTAACTGATAGATAAAATTGACTTTGAAGCAGGTTATATACCATTGAGATGAATGATGGGGGAAGAGAGGTGACTAGGTACTATGAAGAATTTCCCAATACCTATTCACCCCTCTTCTGTCTATATTCACTTCTCTATCCCTATTCAGCCATACTAATATTCTACAAGTGTGAAAATCTTTAAACTAAGCCTAAGTTGTTGGCTGTATAATGTATGACCATATACACAATTCTTTTCCACATTTACAATGGTTATTAACCTGTATTCTACACAAACAAGTATAAATAATTTGTTTTTAAGACTATTTGCCAATCTCAAATAAATATAAAGCATTGAATCAGTATAAAAGATTACCTTTTCTTCAACAACTATGCACAAGGACTCCAGGTCAACGCACTTTGAGTCTTTGTAACATTTTTCTAGCAATCTGTTGAGGTACACAGAGAACTCAGTCTGTCTATTGGCCTCAAACTGAGGGGCTGCCATTGGACTGATCTCCAAATTAATGTATATGGTTCCTTCATTTGGCCTTATTTGTTTTGGCTGTACTACTTCACAGGATACATTTGCTAGGACTCTGGAAAATTCATTTTTGGTTATGAATAAGTAAAAATCGTACATTTACTTAGGGCTAAGACGAGACAAATGGTAACGAAAATTTAGGCAGCTAAGTTACTGAGGAGATAAAAAATTCATACTTTGTTTCTCCCAATGAAACCATACAGCTTCCATAATCCGATCCAAAGGATATGTTCAGTGATCTGCTTTCATCATAAGTTCTACCATCTAAACGCTGTAAATAAAACAAGATTGAGGTTATAACCAAACTTCGGAAAAGTATTTAACTGTTTTAGCAATTAAGATTCTTACATGTCCTTCAACTACAATTTTATTTATAAAATTCTTTTCACAATTTGATAAAAATACGTCTCTCATGATTATAAATTGCTAAATCATAGAGATAGAATTATTTTTTAAAAGTTGTGTTATGATTCCGAATCACGTTTTGTTTGACAATAAAAATGACAATATTTTCTTGACACTAACCGCTGATAGTAACTTTTTCGTTCATAAATCCTTTACTTTAGCAACGAAACAGTAGATTTTTAAATTAATTATTTCAATTAAATTAAATGTTCTATGATTAAAACCGAATACATTTTTCATACTTCGCAGTATTGAAACATTCGTAAACACAAACTCCACTGTTGCTATTGAATAAGGGTTTTCCCGTCGGGTTCGATTCCCGGGTAGGGCTGTCTTGTGATGTCATGTTAATAAATTGTTAGTTATTACATAATTATATAAATCGTAACGCCCACAAGCATTTTAAATATCCCAAGTTGCCCTGACCAGTCACTTAAAATATTACCTTTTTGATGGTAAACGAGCAGACGAATCACCTGATGGTAAGCAATCGGCGTCGCCCATAGACACCTGGAACACGAGAGACGTCGCAAGTGCGTTATATCGGCCTTTTGGGATTATAATTTGAGGAAAAGGGTGCGGGAAAGTGGTAATTGGACCTCCTGTAACTTCACTCACATGACGAAAAACAAAGCAAGCGTTGTTTCACGTAGGTTTTCTGCGAGGCCATGGTATCACTCGGTCGAGCCGGCCCATTCGTTCCGAAGCATGGCTCTCCCACATCAGGCATGGCTAAGTAGATGATATTATTATGTACTTTTTATACCTACAAACAAGGGATTTATTTTTTATAAAGGACATGAAGTACGTTCTATTAGCAAGCTTCCTTGCCTTCAAGGTTTTATTTCACAATTCTGTTTCTGAATAAATGAGTAAAGCTTCCCTTTGTCATAACATGATTAGGTTCCTATTCGGTTCATATTTGTAAATAAGAACTACTGAAGATTGCACATGTTTAAACATAATTTAGTAAGCAAACATTTTAGCATGGTTAGGAAAAACATTTGTTATGTAGGTAGCCCAACAATATTGAATTTTATAATGAGGGGTTATTACGACAACGGTACTGTTTGATACACGTTCATACTAGGGATAGGTAACAAATCAATTTTGAAATACTCTAATGTTTATCAAAAATAAAGATTAAAATCTTTGTGAATTTCAGTGACTCAAAACCTTTTTATACCAGTAGGGGCAGGCAGAGAAGAGAGGTGCACGTAGGTATTGTGATTAGTGATTACTTATGAGTCTCTCTTTTAAAAGACGATAATAGGCGATCTCATGTAAGAGAGGTTGTGCTATTACCCACTGATTAATTTTTGAAAAAAAAAACATACGCCCCAAATTACTTTACTCGACTCGGGAATCGAAAGCAAGACACACAATGAGTTAAAGGCGTTTTTTTTTTAAAAAAAGCAGGCATCAACGTATTCCATTTATTATGTAAACATGTACATACTACCTACTATGGAACGTAATTGAATCTGATTTTGACCTGGTCCCTTATAACGACGCACACGTTGATCACATGGCTATGACATATTACCGAGTCGTCGTGCCGTCACCCATTAGCGAGTTATGATTATTTACCTCTATAATTTTATGGAATAGTATGGACATGCTTTTTTCGTTAAATTCTTACCTAGAATTTAACTATTACACGAACACTAAGATGTAAGTGAAATGCACAACCACAGGAATAGTCTTTACTATATCTATGAGGTCATGGAGAACCTAACGGGTTACCGGGGCTCCGGCTCGACGTGGAGGAGAAGGAACGGGGAGGTTTTTAGTCAGTAAGAGTCTGACTCTCCCTCCTCGTCATTCGATGATTTACCCACCTTAAAAAAAAAGCTATATCTATGAGCATAGTATTAGGGTGTAGCTCGCGAGCTGCGCATTTTACAGAGTTCCGGAATCTACATTTTTTTTGTAGGTATGAAGAAGAAATGCCTAAGCATTGATCACCACATTGGATTTCCAATAATGACTTTTTTCGCCGTCACCGTATACCTGTGGTAAGTATCTACCTAAATAAAGTTCCATTGAACCCGCACCCTCAAACTTGAGAAGCATGTACCGTATCCTCACGACCACTATCTGATTCGCAGACCTCTGGTTATTAACATTTGCTGTTATTTTCCAATTTGTAAATAAGAGACCGTTAACATATACTGTATTTCAGACAGTCATAATCCACCCTGACTAGTCTAAAATGCACCAGTTACCATAACTTCTCAACAGCATAACATGCAAAAATCCCATGACATTGCTTGCGAAATCGTCCGCAGTGCATTATTAATGTGGCTATTGATTACGCCACTGAATGTCAATGTTAATCCAACGTGGTTTACTAGGGGGACAGTGGTGGTGAAAGGCCGTGTTAACGGTGGCGCATCCTCGCAGTCGCCAGTGACCACTCGCCATTCGACCACCGACCACCAAATGTGTCCTACGCCACCGTCATTATGCCATGGCCGGCATAGAACTAATCATATCGTCGATATGTAACGCCACCTTCTGCGAAGTGCCTTACAATGAAACTTATCAAGGTGATTTGTGGCCATTTCTTTATTGCGTGTAATAATAATAATAATGTCTAATTTGTTTTTAAGTTTTTTTGTGTTTGGGGATGTAGAGAAATGACTTAATTATAACAGTTGCATTATTATGACGACGGTAAAATGTTAAACACTAATTTTCTTAAAGTACCTACTACTACTTTAATGCTTTAGTTAAAGTCTAATGATGATGATGATGTTGATCAGAACAACGCAACTTGTCTGTCTATGAAGAGTTTATTAAATATGGGAATTTATTCAGGTTAATAACACTATCTAATGATAATTCCATTCGCTTCTGAATTTAGCGCCGGACTCACTGGCGGAGAAGGACACCAATTTCATGAGTTTGATGAAAGAAGTCAATGGAAAAAATATCAAAGTTACGACATATAACGTAAGTGTCTAACAACATTAAAAGAAGCACTGGTTAAAAAGAAGTACTATATAAAAGCTTGTAAAGTAATTAAGAACTTATCGGTAGGTCTTAATTCTTTAAACCATTTACAGAACACACCTCTGAGTTCGACAGAACTCGAAAATGGCACTGTGGTCGGCAAAGGCGTGGCTTTCACCATCCTGAATATTTTGCGGAAAAAGTTCAACTTTACATATGAAGTGGTACTACCAACTAAAAACTTCGAATTGGGAGCTAAAATCAGTGATGACTCTATTATAGGACTTCTGAACAGCAGCGTGAGTATTTTTTTAATTTTCATGAAAAAGTTTTACATAAGCAATATCGTACTTGATACTCCGCGAAAAGCTTTGATACTGATGATGGTTGTTGAAACCATCAGCATCAGTTGTTCTCCCTAAGTTCTTATAGCTAAGTCAAAGTAAAAGCACTTATTTCAATTAAAATTTGCTACTTTTAAAACGTCGACAAATACAAAATAAATAATAATCTGTCAGTGAGTCCGTCAGTGAAGCTAGGTGAAGCTACATTACTACAAGAACAAGAAACTCCATTCGTTACTCTTTTTAGAAAAGTACCTAAGCGACAACTCGCTGCGCCACTTACACCCATTTGTTTCTAATTTCTATTCTAATGATTCTAATTTCCTCGGTCCACCTATAATATGTCGAAAGCCTGCACTACATAAATCTTCTTATTTGTAATATAGAACCTGGTACTATAATCTTAAATTGTCATTACAGAAAGTGGACATGGCCGTGGCATTTATACCAACATTGCTACCATACCGGGAGTGGGTGTCTTTCTCAATAGACCTTGACGAGGGAGTGTGGGTCATGATGCTGAAGAGACCTAAAGAATCCGCCGCCGGGTCCGGTCTACTCGCACCATTTAACGATCTTGTATGGTATGGATGTTAATGTTGTTGTTCTTTTGTTAGTTTAGTGCTGCTTTTGTGTCAATTATTCTGATAAGCAGATACCTTTATCGCTACTAGTTTAGTAGTTTGCGAAAACATTTTCTTGTTCTATTAATTTTTCTTGTCATATGTCAAACTACAGCTGGTACCTACCTATATCTATGTATTTACTTGAAGTACAATAGAAGAAACGGCATTAAAATTACTTATACAGGTGACAATGACAAAGAAAACCGTTGAAATTAAATAAACGGTTCACATACGCGACTTGCTTAGTTCTAAAAGTTCGACAAGAAGTTCTTCTAAACTTGCCTTTTTTTTTAACCCCACGGTGGGAAATGCTCATGGAGCCCTATCGCCTGGGGAGGACGAAAGGGACTGTCAGACTTACTGACTAAAACCCACCCCGGTGTCCCGTCTCACACGTGGGTATGAGGGTGCGGGAGTCACATTCATCCGCAGCCCCCGAACTCGTGGCGGCCTGCCTTGCCAGGCCCCACCTCAAGATGCACGGAGAAGTGAGGTGTTGGTCTTCTCCGTGGAACGTCTCGGAGGACACAACGCGCGCCACCGTCTCGGGTTCTAAACTTGCCTGCCTCAATAGCAGAAGCTACTTCTACCTAATTTTGTATATGTCGTAGGATAATTTGATACTTCGAATCTTCGCGGAAATCCTAGGGGTTTTGCGAAAACGCGGATAATTAGACATAGGCGAAAAATTATCAAATCTTACTGGACAAAGTCAGAATTTTTGCGAAAATACTCATTACTATAGTAAGATTGCGAAACGAAACGCTGGCTGTTATGAAATAAGAACGCTGATTGGTCGGTCAGCGTTCATAAGATCGTCTCTGATTGGTTGACGTCTTAAATGTTTTTTCGTCGTCTTAAACGACCAGTTTCATCCAATTTATGGATTACACCCTAAAATTGGATCATTTTTTTTACTACGACTGAGATCTCCTATTGTCTGTAGAAAACTACATACATACTAAAATTTTCAATAAAAGGTTTATAAAAATCAATTTAGTTATTTTTCTTTCTCACCTATTCTAAACCTTCATAACTCTATGATACAATACTTGAAGTTAATCATCGGCAAACTAGGAACCAATTAGAAGTCAGCCAGCAAAATTGTAGCCAATCAGTGTTGAGCACATCAAATCTTACTATAGTAACGAGTATTTTCGCAAAAATCCTGACTTTGTTCAGTAAGATTTGATAATTTTTCGCCTATGTCTAATTATCCGCGTTTTCGCAAAACCCCTAGGATTTCCGCAAAGATTCGAAGTATCAAATTATCCTACGACATATACTTACCTAGATAAGATAGATAACATGTATTTATTCAGGTACCTAGTCCTTGCCGCTGTCCTAACATTCGGGCCCTGCATCACGTTCTTCACCCGAGTACGGAGCAAGTTGATCACAGACGACGAAGGCGTTCTGCCCTTAAAACCAAGCTTTTGGTTCGTGTATAGCGCCTTTCTCAAACAGGGAACGAATCTGTCACCTGAAGCCAGTGAGTATCAATTGTTGTATTAACTAACGTGGATAGAGCAATGGGGCTAACGTTTTTATGCTCACCACTATTTTTATCCAATCATAGCAGCCGTTAAATATTGAACGTTCAAATGCGTGACACACTCGTGACACAAGAACACAAGAACTAGAGATTCACACTAGCTCCACCTGGTGTGAAAAATGTCGGTAGGCACCATTTAATCCAGTCACAAGACACTGTACCTACAGTATCTTAAGTATCTGGTGTTCTGGATTAATCAAAACAGACTGTTCTATTCTAGTTTTGTGCAATGTCATAACTTTAAACTTTGAAAAAGTGGTTACTTTAGTACCTACAATCCTACACTGCCAATTTTTCAGCTAGTCATTTAGGTATTTTATGATCATCAATACGTACTATAATCAACCATCGTATACAGTTAAGAAACTACTATAGTGTTGAATGTAGTGAAAAATATCGATCGAAATCACACCGCAATAACACTAAGTACCTATTTACATTAGATACGTAGATAAAGTTTACAATATAACCAACAAAATGACGGTACCTCCGGACATTACGATCTAGTTTTATAACTGCGGTCAATTCCTACCACAAGATCGTATCGCACTAATGGTTTACGTAATCTATCACTTTTTGTCACACCCTTCGAACTTTGTGTGCTACATAGGTACAACGACATGAAAAGTAATCACAAATGAAAATGGTGTTAATGATGGCCGTCAAAATATTTGTCAGACCACCACGATTATTGTTATTAAATACAACACACGATACGCGATTGATTAATGATGTTATTCATGTTTTATAGACATACTTTTTATGTAATTTGTAGTTGGTGTCAGAAGGTACCTACCTAAAATGTTATAATTACTGATACGCAAGATCTATTTATAATACCTGATAGGTATAGACACATTTTAGTCTATTTATAGGCACTGCAGATGGGTATTTTCGATATGTTACATCTCCGTAGGCAGATATTGAACCAACGAAAAAAATATCCTTTTCTGGTCATGGAATCAGATCTATCAAATTTATACAAAGTTTTATCATTATTCTTAGGACTATCAGAAAAAAATCGCAAGTGCTTGGTCAATCAAAATGAAACCAAGATTAATACTATTCGATAAAATGAAACAGTATGCAGTTAATTACGGCAGAGCTGATAGCAGCAGAATTGGGACAATGTGTTTTCTGAGTCAAAGAAAATCTCTCTTATTTTTGTAATATAAAATTAAATATTGAATACTGTACCTCCATGGTCTATGACTCCAGAAGCCATGAAACAATGTTGAACATAGGAATCGATGTCCATTAACGGTTACACGATTTTTCCATACCTAATGGTAATCATGAATCATGCCATCAACATAATAGTCCACCTTACTTACATTACACTAGTGCATTACAAATAATTAGGTAATTTTTTGTACAAAATGACACATTTAGCTCTGATAATGACAGAAACGTGTCAGGGATTCCATTCCATTGCGGAAATGTAAGGCAACATACCTAATGAAATACTCACGGCACAAAGATATCGCATACCTAGGCACCGTATAGTTGAAAATTATTCCCAGTTTTTTTGAATACTATTCTACCTACAGGCACCTAAAATTACAAAATTAGTTGTTAAGCATTCAAACGTGACATATCTCACTGTAGCCGTGGGTACCACGGGTTTTTTTTAAGGGGGGAAAATCATCGAATGACTGCTCCCGCCTGGGTGAGGCGGAAGGGAGTGTCAGACTCTTACTGACTAAAAATCACCCCGTTCCTTCTCCTGCACGTCGAGCCGGAGCCCCGGTTACCCGTTAGGTTTTTCGCGACTCCAAATCGGCAACAGCCCTATTGGGCCCTATCTGTGGTGGTCTGATGGCTCTTTGAGGCGCGCGCGGAACGCGACGCGCCGTACGCTCGGGTCTGTTTCTGGTCGGACGAGCCACCACGGGGTTGAAGTTGAACCCTGTCATGACTACCTAAACCTACAGACATTCGTATTTTCGACTTAGAGAGACTAACGCAGTAGGTTTCAAAGGCAAAAGTGTCTGTGTGTTAATTAGGTGGAATAAAACATGCTTTAAGTATCTTCGACTTCTATTTGATTTATTACTTATTTATCTACCTCATTTTTTTTTTAGATACAACACGTGTCCTCTTCGTGACTTGGTGGTTGTTCATGATTCTACTGTCAGCTTTTTACACGGCAAATTTGACGGCTTTCCTGACTCTATCCAAGTTTACTCTCGCCATAGAAACTCCAAAGGACTTGTATCAGAAGAACAATCGTTGGGTCGCTTCAGCTGGCAGCTCGGTCGAACATGTTGTCAAAACTGTAAGTTTTCGCAATTAGGTACCTACCCACATGTTTATTGCTGTTAATTAATGTTGCTAGATATTTTTCAGACTTCTAAAGTAGGTATAGTTTGATCTGAATAACATAAAACAATTTTTGTCACCTTATTAAATGTGGAATGTGTCAATATTGATTATATTTTGAACTAAAATATGTATGTGGGTAGATGTGTCGTTTCAGTTCACAAACTCATTGCTCAATCAATTTTAAAAGGCATCACGTTGTTGTCCTATAGCTGCAACTAAGAGCTCGTTCCTATAGCTTCGTGCCATATATTTTATACTTTGTCTAATTCATAACATAATATAACATCACGCCTTTTTATCCCCGAAGGAGTAGACAGAGGTGCACATTAGGGCACTTAATGTCACTGTACAATGTAACACACACTTTTCACTGTTTATGTTATGTGTCCTATGTAATAGGGGGTGAGTCTATTGCCATATACTAGACACGATTCCAGACTCCGTGCTGCTACTGAGATTTTCCTCTTGCCTGGCAGTCGCACTTGCGACCACTCGGCCAACGAGGCAATCAAATTCATTATATCATAATAATTGTTAACCAACAGGAAGGCGAAGACCTATATTTCTTGAACGCAATGATCAGCAGCGGTAAAGCTCGGTTTCTATCGGTGGCTGGTGACAAGGACTTCTTGGACTTCGTGAAGAAAGGAGCAGTACTAGTCAAGGAACAAACAGTAGTAGACCACTTGATGTATAACGATTATATTTCGAAGAAAGACGTGGAAGAGTCCGAGAAATGCACCTACGTCGTGGCCCCTAGTGCGTTTATGAAGAAACAGAGGGCGTTCGCGTACCCGGTCGGCAGTAAGCTGAAGGGTTTATTCGATCCTGTGTAAGTATTTCTTAATTTCGTCACCTTTTTAACTACCTACCTGGGTAATGACTCGTTATTTAACCTGTCTACAGTAACAGGTCCCTTAAAACTTGGATTTTTAATTCTTTAATCGAGTTATTTTAGTACCTACTGGATTTTAGATCTCTAGTATGTTTTTAGGTGGGGCATAGTTATATACCATAGTTGTATGGTACTTATAATTGTAAAAAACAACAGGCATAACATACTTACCATAATTTTCTGACTACTTACCAACATTCTAACATTTCCAGACTAACCCAGATATTCCAAGCTGGTATCCTCGACTTCCTGAAGCGCAGTGACCTGCCGAGCACGAAGATATGTCCTCTAGACTTACAGTCCAAAGACCGTAAGCTCCGGAACAGTGATCTTATAATGACGTACATGGTGATGGTCGCTGGATCCGCTACCGCCGTCGCTGTGTTCGGCGCTGAGGTTAGTTTCTAAACCTTATTGTTTATGGAATAAAGTTGAAAGTGCAGAGGAGAGTTAAGTAAGCTGTTGACTACATACATACTTAAGTTATTTATATTCAGGTATTAATTTATATAGGTATAAGGGGTTTTGTTTGTAGAAGGTGGTTACACGGAGAATAATTTTTACTTAATAATGCACAAGATATATTTTACGCGATAATTTTAAAGACATGTTAAAGCTATGTTTTTAAACTTCTAACTGTGCAATTTATCATACATTGAGGTGTCTATAACTGGCTGGTGCTGAAACTCAGCGCTGTGGCCTCGAGCCATCGTGCCCGGGCCACAGCATTAGGCTAAGCTCAGGCCATTTGCGCTGTGACGCACCATGAACTTCTTTTTGCGTGTACCTACTTGTATTGTTGTCTTTGTGTGTGTTGTTGCGTTATACTTAATGATTTTGATAGATGAATTCCATGGCGTTATAATAAAAGGTGTTTCTTTCTATAATTTCACAGGTGTTCATAAAACGTTACGTCTCCGGGAAACTGAATAAGAACAAGAAATCGAAGAGGAAGAAGTCTAAAACGGGTAAATCATTAAAGAGTCATGACGATAGTCGGCCACCTCCATACGACTCACTGTTTGGAAAGAACCCTAAATTCAATGTGGAGACCACACGCATGAAAATGATAAATGGCAGAGAATATTATGTGTTTGAGACGAGCAATGGTGACAAGAAACTCATCCCAGCTAGAGCACCATCATCCTTCCTTTATAGGTCGGATAAATAACTACAAACATGAAAAAATGGATCTCAATGAACACGTGGAAAATACTTAGCAACTATTTAATGTAATACCTAATTACAATAATCATAAATACGTAATAAATCGATGCTATCTGCAAAGGCAATAAATGTCAAAGTCCATTTTGACTTTGTATACAAGCTGATTTATATCTAAGACATAATTTAAGTAGAATAATTTTAGTACAAACGTGTGTTAAATAGTTACACTCTAAAGCACTTTATAGTCACTATTATTATGGGGCAGAACTTTAAGAAAATAAAGGAATTCAAATAAAACCTTGTTTCGATACATAATTTTATTAATTGCGCAACGCAATTCGTAATTTATAATCAAATCAATTCATTTCTCTACGATTATTATTAAAAAAAGATTTAGTCATCTGTGGTAAATAACCAGAGAGTAGGTTTGTACAAATATAAAATCAACAATACATAATCAATTATTTTTGTCAAAAAAAATTTTTCATAAAATTTATAATTATATTGAGCCGTGCACGTAACTGGCTTCATTAGTCATGAACATTAACCATAATGTAACTTAATTCTATGAACATAAGATACAAATAAAAAAATAATTCATCTGCAACATTTCAATCCACAAGGGGATTATCACAAACTTGTTTACACCATACATGTTGATGGGTCCACAGATTAAAAAAATATTTTCTGTGAGGTAAAGATCGGAATTACAGGCTTAGATTTTCCAAAGTCATAAATAAAGTCATTTAACCCTCTCTTTGAATTATATCACTATAAAACAATGTCCAATTAGAACACAATTAAAGGTATTAGTAATATTGATACCATAAAAGAAAATTATCTATGAAGAAATTGTCTAAAACTGTTCTGAAATATATCTCTAACAGAAAGGTACCACAGAGTTTGAAGGTACCAAATCTAATGAAACTTATCGAAACATTTGGGGCTCATGTGCAATAACTAATTTCTGCTAAATTGTGATTATCTAACTACGTTTATTATTGCAAAAGTTACCCGCAAAATATTCTATGTCCACCGTCTATGAAATGCGAGCCATTCTGGCCACTACTACCACAGAATAAAAAGGCTACTACTTACAACTACAATATTACATCACATTTTTAAGTAATAAAAAGTTTTCTATTCGTATTATTAGGGATAGACGTTTTGTAAATTTTTAAATGTATTTTTAGCTTACTCTACCTATAATGTTCAAATGAAATTTAGTTTTAGTCCAAAATACCTATGAAATTACAATCCGATTTCAATGTACGTAACAGTAATTATCGAATATTTCGTGATTATATCCTCCATTATCTTTCAAATGCCTTTCGAGGCAACGTCATTGTTTGAAGGCTTCGATACATACTTGAAGGGCACAAACTCTTTGTTTTATATTATCAAGCAATAATTAACATACTTATCAAGTACATATTATATTAAGATATTACTATTTACTGTCGATAAGAATGTTACCTCGTGTTGCATCACTCACGTGGAAGATCAGTATCAGTTCATTGACCTCATTTTCCTCGAAAATTTCCTATAGTTCATAACACTATTTATTACAAAATTAATGCCACCAAAACGACTATCTTGTAATACAAAATATAATATGCGTATTGTACTTCAGGGAACCATCCAATATTTATTAAAATTCGTGCATTACTTGAATTCTATTGGTGCACTTGAATTTGAACCGTATGATATAAAATTATTACGTTTAAATTATATTTAACACCGTAGCAATGTGACGATAAATCAGCATTATTTATTTAATTCGAAATCGTCTGAGTATTGCTACGTATGTAATATAATTTATTTAGTATTTTTGAAGACATAAATTGGCTATTCTAATATATAAATGTTCGTATAACTCCCATAGCCAAGCATTCAACATCATATTTTGGTATAAACGACCCACACTTTCATATTTGTTGTGAAAAGGTGAAACTATATTAGTTTTATAATTAAACCTTATAACATTTATAATCTCTAAATTTGTCGTAACTTTTACAAATCTGGAAAAGTAATTTTCGACGTTTTTCAAAGTGAATTAAAGTTCAATATCGCGTGGTTTTAATCTCAATTTTTAATCAGTTAATATGCTTTTAAATATTATTGATTTGATACATTTTGTGATAAATTTTTCGTTTATTTTCAATGTTTAATTGGAATTTAGGTACTCAATGTTAAATTAATATTCATGAATTTATAATACGAGTTATATTTTTATGTATTTTTGACAATTTAGTTAATGGTAAGTACTTAATTTAATAATGTGAATAATACTAATGAATGAAGATATACGTAGCCTAGGTAATGTAGCGAGATTTATATAGAATTTTAGTTACAACAGCAGCAATATTTATATGATTCGTTTACATTAGATGACACATTAGAAATTCGTGTTTTGTAATAGTGCCGTCTTTGATACACCAACATACAAACTATCTGTCTCTTTTACACATAACTTAAAACAAACATTAGACAGAGATGAATATAATTTCATATTTGCAATATTCTTTCGACAAAGATATGATTAAAATAGTGTTGTCTTTTTCTGATTACCTGATGTAAAAACGAGACAGATGGTTTTATTATCGGTCGGTGTGGAAAAATGAGCACATATACTTTGGTAGATGATTATAAATATGAATGGAACTAAATTTCACAGCTAATGTGTAGTGAAAGTGACGGGGTTAGTCCATAGTCGGGCCCGAGCGTCAGACCGCGAGCCGACTGTCCAGCATAGGCGACGGGAGCAGGGAACTAAAATAAAAACTTTTATTAAACTCCCTTTCTATTGCGTCTTGCTGTTTTATATTAGCTGCCAAATAATCTGAAGATTCTACATTATATTTTCTCTATTTTTACTTAATATCTTAGTTAATATAATTTGTTTTTTTTTGCCGACAGACTGGCTAAGCTATTTGGCTGTGGTTCACCATGATCTCCTATGGATTCTCTAAGGGAATCTCGTGAACTTCATTAGTTGACCAGGACCCCCTTCCACTGAGAAATCGAGGTGGTGAACCGAAATAGTAAAGAAGTTTTGTTAAGAGGCAACATTAGTTTAGAGTTTTTTTAAGAGTTTGTATATTTATTTGTACTTTTAAATCTGTCGGCAATTGCATATCAATTAAAAAATACATAAATACTCTATTTTAATACTTCAGAAGTTCCAATTTAGCCTCAGAATTTAAATGCGCGAGTTAATAGTTGTACTCTTTGGGCTTCATAGGAAGACTGTCATTTGACATTTGCACGTTCTCTTACTTTACAGTAGTGAGTTGAAAATATTCGACTATTTTGAAACTGCTCTAGTGTTACCAAGATCAAAAATAAATAGTGAAACATTTCCAACATCACCACAGACCATACAATAATACGACATCTAGATTACTTAGTAACAGAGTGGTTTTGGTATCACGATAACAACATCGATAGTTAGATAATCGGATCCGCTATGCGTTGTTACTCTACTAACCCGCACTCTAAAGCTTCTAGGTTCCACGTGGTGGCTTGCCGGGGTGCGCCGGCGCCGTTCGTGGAACACATTGACTCAGTCCTAGATCCCATGGTCCGTTGCCTGCAGAGGTACGGCGTTACTGTGGGAGAAGGCGTGCTTTGCTCCTGGAATATTGATAAAACTCGTATTATATGATAGTAGACCTCACCGATATATTTACACATCATCCATCCTGGATGAGACTGCTGTAAATACCACCCGTATAAGTACATAACGCCAACAGGTAAACCTATTTCCAACTATATTTTTTTACTTAAATTTTGACTTTATATTTAAAACAATGAAGGTGAAAATCCAATGGATGACATTGACAGAATGGAGTAGGCTGATATGCTGGCCATTACAATACTTATATAACTGTATATATTGTACAATAATTATGTTATACTCCCTCCCTTCATCTCCTGTGGTTTTAAGCCACAGATAAATTACATGCTTACATTTCTGACCACAATTTATCATGTTGATTACTTAGCCTCATTCTCATAAAAATGGAACAAAGTTGAAGACAACACTATTTACTTTACAAAATATTTAAGTAATGAGCACTATAGTAGTCTGGTACTCTGAAGCCCAATAAATAATAAATATCTACCAAAGAAAAAAAAAACTATACCCAAACAGACCTGTCTACCTACAAACAAGTCGTTTCATGTAAAATACTGAAATTCAGCCCTGCCTAGGGCCGAAAGCCCCGACATTGATTTCAACAGAAATTGGTTCAAAGCCACAAATTCTATTAATAGATTTTTAACTTTATTCCAAAATTAAAACGTTGAAAATCTATCAAAGAAATTTCTGACTCGGCGACTGAACTGTCGTTATGAATGTTCGGACTCAGACCCAGGAGAAATAAGTATGTAAATATAAATTAAATATGTATCAATTCTCTATTTACCTACATACTCGTGTATCTAATCTTAATAAATATCTGATAATGATCGGCTTTGCAGATAAATAGGAACAATACACTTATACATTGTTTCGAAGCAACAACTCATATACGTTAGTACATCTACTCGACCCTCATAATACGCTCATATATTACAGATATTTATCTAAAATACTTGTTATATTGTGTATTACGTGATTGGCATATATTTGAGTACCTATTGAGAAGTATGAGGCAATTAAGTATTCAAATGATGTGCACGTGTATAATAAATAATGTTATTTATATTAACCTTGTATAATTATCTATATACAATACCTAATTACAATTACTTACTACATAAAGTAGACTACAAAATTACTATAGACTTTAATATACCTAAAATAATCTCTTTTACCTTTTCAAGCAAATAGTGGTCATTCAATTTTCATTGTCGACATAGATCGTCGAAAACATGTCCTTCGGAATATATGCAACGATATCGATTAGACGACAACAGCCGCCAATGCTTCACGAACGATTAATAAGTAGGTTACGCCAATTTCCTTAAGTGCACCCAGTAAAAAGCATTCCACTTTTCTTCAAGAAGCCACCATTGTATATACATACTTACTGTTATATATAGTACTATGTATGTACATTTACAAACTAGTAAAGTCATAATCCAGGAGAAGGAAGAGGTTGTTAAAAAGAGGATCGTGTTAACCATTCCACCTTCATCATACGTGTACCATCAAGGACGTTGAAAACAAGGTGGACATAATGTCACTTAGAAATGATTGAAGCACCGAAATGTCTGTGGTTTATTTATGTGTGCGTGTGTAAGGGTTACCACAACATGACAAATGTCCTTCGTGTCAATGTGTGTATGTTCTCCGTGTAAGTCTATAGTAGCTAGGTGCCACAGTCGTTGTTTTAAGAGACTACGTCCACCTTTTTTCCAACGTCCTTGTGTGCCATATCACCCAGCTGTGAATAATAAAGTGTAATATGTCCATAATAGTGTAGATTAGATATTATCAACCACCAATAAACATGCAACTCAATTCAAATAATATGTTTCTATAAATTCCTCGTGTAATTCAATCGCTAGCTAGGTTGACTCTAACGAAATCAAAGTCAAATCAATTGTAAACATTTTACTATTTTTATAAATCTTTTACAACAAATGAACACAGCCTCGTTAACAAACATTTGGCATTAATACAAAATCACTTATGATTTAATGAACCTGTAATAATAATAATACAACTATATGATTCAACAAATAACTCCCATACACATATAATCTTCTATACATATAAAATACAATTAATCTAACGATTTCTACATCAGTTTTCAGAATTCTTGATATCGTTGGACATGGAGAGGGTCAGGCTGTTCATTTCGTCCACTTTCAGTGAGACCATCTCCTTGAAAAAGATTTTATCGAACCCTTATCGTTTCTAAAGTGTAAAACTGTAATTGAAATACAAATAATACTGCTAAGTGTCTGACAAACAAAATAAAACAAAAAAACTGTGAATATTTTGAACACCCTGTGTTTTATTCGACATAGAAGAGAAAACGAATTATAAAATAAATAAAAGATACGAGTTTGGATTCAAAATAAAAAGCAAATAGTATAGCACAAATTCAGTTTATTATGTCCATGGGTATTTCATGAAATATAGACAAATGTGTTCGACGCTTCGTTTGATAACGGACACGCGATGGTAGAAGCGCATTTGTTCAACAAGTTACGTCTATTTACTTGCATTATATGCCTTAAATTGTGCTCGCCCAGGCTTTGTACAAACAGTGTCAGCTTCAGCAGTTTCTATATAATAAAGGCTATAAAAACATAACCTTCTCTTTACACAGTCCCCAATTTTCATATCCAGAAGACTCTCGACGATCCCCTAAATACTAGTACAACTATCTTTGGTCCTAAACATACTTTATTCAAAATCGATCTTTACACTTTATACATAATATACATAATATGTACAATGATTTACTTTAACAATTATCCCAAAACCAATTTAGATTGTAAACAGATTACAGCATAATTCATTTACAAAAAAATGTCATTCAGAAGGTCATTTTGGAATTGAACCACTTATTCAATATTCAGAATGAACAACAAAAAATTTACATTATATTTGAAATATTTATACAATTTTATTAGTAAATCAGACTAGTGGTTCATTTTCAATGATTAAAAAAAGGTGGGAATAGTTGGAAGATTAGTAAAGAAGGTTTGAATGTTAAAGCTTGTAAGAAACCTTAGGAGAATTGGTTATAGGACCCGATATCCAAGTTTGTACTGTTATTAAGGCGCAGTGGCTAGCTACTAAATAATGTCTTCTGGTAAAAGACGCACCTGTTGGTTGGGCCCGCAACACGTCGCGTTGTGACAAAGGTCGTTCGGTGGACAGTGGAGCGCGCACGGCGCTTCGGCTGACGCGCCGCTTATTATCTGTAATACAATAACATGTATGTGTAGACGTACACCAAAAATATACAAGATAAACAATGGGAGTTTTAGTCTTATTGTGCACTGGATGACGTTGTTTTTGGGGATTGAATTCTGAATCGCTGTTTTAATCATTTTCTCTGTTGAAGATGTGTAAAAGATTACCTCTATATATATAATCTTTTACACAAATATAATACTAATATTAAAGATAATATTTTTAATATTAGTATTATATTTTGTTTAGAATTCAATCCGCTCCGTTGTGACTGCCTCGTTGGCCGAGTGGTCGTAAGTGCGACTGCCGTGCAAAAATTCCCGGGTCGGGCAAAGTATTACTGGGTTTTTTAAAATATTCTCAGTAGTAGCACGGAGTCTGGAATTATGCCCGGTATATGGCAATAGGCTCACCCCCTATTACATGGGACTCATAACATAAATAGTAAAAAGTGGGTGTTACATTGTACAGTGGTATAATGTGCACCTCTGCCTACCCCTTAGGGGATAAAAGGCGTGATGTTATGTTATATTTTGTTTTATGGATTAATTTTTCTTGTGCCATTAGCAGCATTTGTTTAATTAAACCTAAGTGTTACCCCTTACTTCTGTCGTAAAAAGGGTCTATTATTCTATAATATTGATATTACATTGAATCGATGTCTACAAAGTTCAATAAAATTATTTTTAACTTTTATTGTTCATGTACGATATTATGTTGCTTATCGTCAAATATAACTTAGAATTGATATGCTCGGGATTAAGAGATTAATGAATATATGCATTAGTTTAGTAGACATATATTACATTTCAGTGCGATATTGTATAGTTGCTTCTTTTTTTCTCACGACATCGGGAGCGATTGCTTTCATGGAAAAACCAGAAATAAATGATTCCAGGAATAAAAATGTTAGCTTTTGAGTCAAATGGATCAATGAAATAGTCAAGAATTCCTCCAAGATACATGGATCAAAATATTAATCAAAATATAATAAATATTAATCAATAGACTGCCTCGTTGGCCGAGTGGTCGCAAGTGCGACTGCCGGGTCTCGGGTTCGATTCCCGGGTCGGGCAAAGTATTTGGGTTTTTAAAATTATTCTCTGTAGTAGCCCGGAGTCTGGAATTGTGCCCGATATATGGCAATAGGCTCACCCCCTATTACATGGGACTCATAACATAAATAGTGAAAAGTGGGTGTTACATTGTACAGTGGCATAATGTGCACATCTGCCTACTGGGGATAAAAGGCGTGATGTTATGTAGTTATGTGTGTATTAATCAAAATATAATTAGTGCAGAAGAATGTGATTTCATTCTTCTACACTAATACCAACTAATTAATACCGTTAAGGTGTCTACAACAATCGTTTGGTGTGAATATATTTCGGTATTTTCAAGCCATAAATAGCTCTTCGTATTAAAACATTTAATAACTAAAGATAACACGGCACTTTGTAAGTAGCGGCTTTCAGATAACGGAAAAAACGACTTTCATATAATACAATCGATATTCCGCCGTTATCGTGATAACGTAACGAATAAGCAATCGTTAAGATATTTACTATTCCGTGACACGATAATCTTGTTTGACTAATAATTACTTTATGTCCTAGGCTTATTTAATGACTAAATTATGATTTCGGAGATAAAACTTATTTTATAGCGTATTCCATTCTAAATTAACCTTTATTTCCAAACAGTTAAGGTTTATTTTTATAAAACATTTGCCTATATCGTAAGCATGGTTACCTGACAATGTCACTGTATATTAGTTTTTATTCAGATAGAATTAAGGTTGATTATTATGAAAATATGTGTTTACCTCATTTCCACCTAGTGGCAGCTCTACAAACTCTGGCTGTATAGTGGTCGAGTGTATGCCCTCGTTGTGGAAGAACTCCTTCACTTTCTCAGCTATTTTCATGTACTCCGATAGATTTCTACACCTATAAAAACACAAAAGGATATAATTAGTTGTGCATTTGTATATTATATTCTTTAATAATAAAATTAGGTAAGTAAAGCAGAACATTCACACGTAGATCTATTCATTAGACTTGAAATTCCGTTTCGCTAAAAAATTTTAAATTAATGTTTACAATACTTTTGCCTGAGCCGAGAACTGAACCTTGAACTTCATAATCAGTAGTCGCAATAACAACCAACCAAACAATTAGGCAAAAACTACATTATTCCTTAATTCTAAAACTCAAAAGCATTTACGTTTTACCACACTATTATGTAGTTTGAAAAAAAAATAAACATAATTTGGTACTTTGGAAACTTCAAAAAATATAAAATAAATAAGAGTCTGTCAGTCTCTCCGTCAGTGAAGCTAGGTGCTCGTTCCAAAAAGAAGGTTTGAAAGGAGAAAAACGAGCAAGTAACACACACGTTACTCTTTTAAAAAAAAAGGTAGTATGTTTTACAATATCTCTGATACATATACGAATATCGTACAAGTATGAATGTGTAAATATATGAATATTATGTTACCTATGTGTGTGAATATATGAATATTCTTTAGCTTTTATCATGTCCATGCATTTGGCTATTCAAGCACGCCCATTAAGAGTACTCCACACGTGGCCTTCCTTCACACACATCCTTAATAATTACCATTGAAAAGGCATTTTCATAATTACCATTGAAAAGTCCTTTTCATAATTTTATTGAAATGTCCTTTTCATAATTTTATTGCCGTACAGTACGTGTTAGAGCATTCAATTTGAAAATAAGATGTTTTACAAGCGATATTCTCACACAATGACGTTATAATTTAAACAATGAGCATTTATCATTCATTGTTATTTCAACACACGTTAGTATTGCTCTCGTTTTAAAATATACAATGGGGATGTGTTTATATTTTTTTTTTCGTTCATACGCCTGCTGTCTTGGATATTTTGTTAGTATAAGGCGGTCAAATTCAGTTGCTGAATTATTTGTTGAGGGTCGATTAGTGCATAGATTGGACTAGTTTGGCAAAGAAGGAAAATAATATATATATTGATATATTTAAATGGGGGATTTACTAAACCGATGAGGAAAGTCTTTTTTTAATGCCTACTAAATACTACGTTGTTGTAACAATAGGGGACTAGGTATTTACCTAGTCCCCTATATTATATAGTTATATATTTGTATAGACGTAGATAATTTTATCTACGTCTATACAAATATATAACATCTTTTTAGGTTTTATTAGAATGTCCTGGTATTGAACTGGACTGTTCTGAATGTCTATTTGTATATATTTTCCTTCTGACTAATTTTATTACGATCATCATCAACAGCCTATAAATGGTACCCACTGCTAAGCAAAGCCTCTTCTCATATGGAGGTTAGATCATTAATTGCCACGCTTGCTCAATGCGGGTAGACGATTACAAACTTATAAGTAGAAATTATAAGCCCAAGTTTCCTCACGATGTTTCCCTTCACCGTTTGTCAGTGGTGTCTAAAATAATATTAGAAAGTACATATAACTCGGAAAAAGTCACATTGATACTTGCTGTTGGTAGGTTCCGAACACGCACCCGCATGCATGAGAAGCAGGCGTCTTAAACTTTCGGGCCACCACGACATGTTTATTACAATATAATATCTGAATTTAAACTTCAGTAATGGTAAATCCAAAAATAAAATACAGAATTATGGACAGACAACAGATTTCAGCACAGCCAAAAACGAAAGCAATATAACTTAAGAAATTCGTTTTCATTTGCGTGGGGTCAATAATTTAATAAAGCCAGTAAAACACGCACGTACGGTGCAAAATAAAGGCGCCAGCGCATTGGTTCATTGACATTGATTCTGGGACAAAGACTAGTTTGGATTGGCTCGCTGCCAAAAGCAATTCGTGAAACGTTTTTCAAAAACAAACTCCACTGGGTGAGCTGGAAAATTTGCTTTTGTATTAAAAACATACTTTTCAGTGTTTTACACACAGATTTATATTATTTTTGGGGTCATACATGTGCTTTAAAAATACTTGAATCGGTGTTTTTTAATGTAATGTTATCATTTGTGACATTGTGCCTAATCCACATTTTTATAAATACGATAGATATATTTTTGGCACAATTATGTTATTCTGTCGTGTGGTTTACATATCAGACTATCAGACTGGACGGCCTGATAGTTAGATATTTTCTTGTGTTCAAAGTTCAAAGAAAACACTTTTCAATTCTATTTTTATAAACACAGACTAATACATTGATTCAAGAAGTCAGCAACACACTTAAAGTTGTGTAGTACAATTGTTTTGTGTACAAGATTTTCATTCTTTTTAATCTGAAGTATTTGTACAGTCCTAAAATGACTGACGTACATATTTTGTTTCTATACCGATACAACATAAGAAATCATTGAGTGCAATTACTGTTACGCGGTGACTAACACTAGAGAACGGAATCGTCAACAGTTTTATTGTAACCCCAATTAAGGGTCGATATTTCAATGCTCAGTTAAATTTTATCAGAGGAATAAGTTTGAATTATAGACAATTCTTCCATACTAAACTTGTCAACTGTCAATTTTATTCTTCAGTTTAACTGATGGTTGAAAAATCGGCCCTAAATATTTTAAATCCAACTAAGTGAATCTTTTCTCTTCGCGGTCCAACCTCTACAACATCTCTGCAAGTGTACACGCACCGTACAGTATTATAAGTTTCAGATATTCCTTTGTATCTTAGTTGTAGAAAAAATAAATATTAAAAACAATACAAGTTACTATTACCAAAGTATATAGGTATAGAACAAATAAAATGTATTATATACAACACAATATATAGTCATGTATATTGACACTGTCTCTTCAAGCGTTATCAGGCTGCACTAAAAGGCTTTGCTTATCTCGTTATTGACGCGGCTACAGGGTACAGAGAAGGAAATAATTTCAAATGTATATAATGTACTAGACATAGTATATAATGTACTTGACCCAGTTGCAATGAACAGGTTCTCAATCGTTCGCTGATTTGTACAATAATTTACGTTAGAATAATATGTTGATAATAACATATATTAGAATGATATTTGATTAATAATGCTTTATTTTTATTGTTATGTCGAGTTAGTTTATTCGTGTAAATAAAATAGAAGTGATATAATGGATACTAATTGTTTAATAGAATTTATGTATGCTTTGAGTTAATGCTCACTTGGATTTTATACATACTCTTGCAGCGGTCTTTTACAGAAAGTAATTTACTTACTACTATTTCAAATGTTAACTCGTCGAGTACCGGTTTTATAGACACAATTAAAGAACAATAGGTCGCGGTCACCGGTGACCGCTCGGTGTTTGACAGATTAAGTGGACTATTCATTTATTTTTAGACTAATTGCTGCCCAAGATTTCGTCCGTGTAGAATATGAGTTTTAGGACATAACTTTTTGTTTCAATTTTCCAAACAAAAATAAACAAAAATACAGAAAATTAAATTTCAGAGATTTGCCGGTACAAACAGACAGACAAAAATTAAAAAAAAAATGTTATTTTGGTCACATACCAAAATAACATATAGTAAAAACATATGCATATAGTAAAAACGCTTAATTCAATATTAAAAACAGACACTCCAATTTAATTTATTTGTATAAATGAGAATTTACTTTCATGAGCATGTCGCTCATTGGGATGATCTCTGTAACTTGTTACTTTCAATCTCGATCAATAAGTTAACGAAAATAAAACTTTATAGCCAGTTGTTTATATTAATCTTAAACTTCATATTTAGTTTTAAATACGAACCTAGAATTTTCTTATATGGCATAGACACCGAAAGTAAAATCGAGTATGTATCTGAAAATCAATAATCCCATTCCGAAAAATATTAACTTTGCAAAAACATAAAAAATTGACAATACTCGTACAAACTACAAATTATGTAGCCTTATTTCTACTTTTCCAAGTTTTAAGCCTTCATGAAAGGCCTACTACAGTAACTCAAGACTGTTTACTACTAAATTCACAAAGAAAAAAGGTTTTAAAGAACCCTTTATAGCAATAAAAAGAAAGTTCGAGGAAAGAATTTCAATGGCGAACCGTCTAGCTGAACTATAAATCCTAATTATACTACAAAATAGGCTGTAGGTTTAGTAGGTAATCGTGCCTACTTCTTTTCAAGTATTTTTAGTAGCACTTAAGTTACCCTAGATTTCTTACTATTTTATTTTGTCACGTAAGTAGTGGCATTGGATGGAATTACTGATATAAGGTATTTTGTAACATAACATAACATCACGCCTTTTATCCTCGAACGGGTAGGCAGAGTTGCACATTATACCACTGTACAATGTAATACCCACTTTTCACTATTTATGTTATGAGTCCCATGGGTGAGCCTATTGCCATATACCAGGCACAATTCCAGACTCCGTGCTACTACTGAGATTTTTTGAAAAACCCAATAATACTTAGCCCGACCCGGGAATCGAACCCGAGACCCCTTGCCCGGCAGTCGCACTTGCGACCACTTGGACAACGAGGCAGTCTAGTCTAGGTATTGAATCCATGCTCTAAAATAGCATAAGGCGTTAAGCACTATTATTATTAACTCCTGTTGATTCGCAAATATGCTTGAATTGAGAATGCTAATATGAGCAATATTCCGACACACATGCTACTAAGTGACAAGAGTTCAATTGAAGCATGCTTCCATGCTTGAAATTAGCATTAATGTGAAGAAATTTATAGAACCCCATTTCCTTTTCTATATGAACACACTTATAGTGCTTCTTCATATTGTAAAAGGCACTAAAAGGGTCAAAGGTCATTCACGTATCCTTTAAAATAGAATAGACATATCTGTCAGTTGGACTAATTGAATTCGTCTATCCATTTCATATCGGTAAAAGCTATAAAAGTGGATAACATCGATGTTTCATTACCATCAATCATCGCTAAACCAAACGGATGACAGAGCGGAGTTTTATGTTACAATACTATCACTTCTTATATTTTGGGAGAAAACAGTGCAGTTGATAATAGATTACATGTTTGGGACGACAATCAAAGTTATTTGATAATGAGTTGTTCCAACCACAACGCCGGTCTATATTATTGATGTCGGTTTTATAACAGTATTCTGTCCTATCCATAATCGAAAGGGACTAAGAAGCTTCTCAAAATTATTATTATTGTAGGCTTAAAGTTGAGGATAGGCTCAATTTATATTAATATAATTTATTATTAATTCTATCTGTATTCAATCTTGGGGGTTACATTTTCTCTATTAAAAAACCCCTTACTAAAAATAAAGATTAAAGAAATGAGTTGTTCTATAAAAGATTAATAGAAAGACTCTAGAACTGGTCAATTTAGAGAGAGGTGGTTTTAGCGAGGGAAGAATTTGATATTATCTACTTTTTCCCTAAGAAGCTAGGCTTTTTAAAGGTTTTACCCTATAACATTACTAACAAGTTATAACATAATATAAAATATGCATTTATAGCGTCATTAGTACCTAATAAAGAAAATATTTTTCCTTCCTTCTTATAAAACTTTGACCATTCATTATTTCTTTACCGCAACGGTGATAATGTTTATTTACAGTTCATGATTAATTTCAAACACAAAGAAAACGAGGAAACACTGAGAAATGTTCAAGGAACGTTTTCCTATTTTAAGCACATTACTAAAGGTGCTTCCTTAAGTCGCTGACAAGGAAGGGCTTTGTTACAAAGACAAGGGATTAATGAAAAACTACTCAAATAACATGGGACTTACAACTACTGTTGTTTGTTAATTTTAATTTTTCCTAATCATATTCTCAGAAATTGTGAGAAGAAGTCCTTAAGAGTTTTTCTAAGGAAGTTGTCCATGAGCAGCAGCCAGACTGCGTTTTCGGTCAGACACTTAATAATAATCAATAATGGGTAAACTAAATTGATGTAATTCCTTCTTCTTTATTGTCATAATAATAAACTGATACAAAGTGAATTCTTAGTAACGCTGGATACTAAGAATTACAAGATCAGAAACAGTAATACATTTTGACTGCATGGTTGATGCAGGTTGGCATGGCAATCAGCTGCCATGCAATGTGTCGCGGTGTCGATGTGTCTTTCGGGTCTGGGTGTCATTGTGTATGTGAACTTGTATGTTTGTAAACGCACACACGACACAGGAGAAAATCCTAGTTTGGAGCAACGTTTAAAAAAATGTCAAATCAAGAAAGTAGTCGAGTCGAGCACCCAACCACCAACGCAAAGGTTTATTGATGTTCCCATTTAAACTATGCAGCCTCCATTTGGCGCCGCATGTTGTTATTCGCTCTCATTTTTATTAAATCACCATTTCGACCCCTTTTCATATAAATAGGTTTATCACTATTCCGCTATTTTAGTGTGTCACAGTTCTCTTTGACATTCGTTTTACACGTTGAACATGTTAAGCATGTTTAGAAGTGAACGATATAATTGACAATTTCCCATTTTCGAGGTGATCTTCATGGACGCTTCTAAACGTCTTAACGCAGTCTGGAATTGCATAACTTCATGGAATTCTTACATGTTTTCTTATTTCTATTTGTCTGATTCTCTAATCATTTGTATTTATTAGTCAAGATTTTTTTTTTCATATTCATGTTCAGTTCATTTCATGTTATGTGGTTGCACTGTGTCACAACCATTATGGTTGTGGTCATACGAGAGCTTACTAGCCTAAACCTTTAATACTGGGCGACTAAGATACAGGCTGTACCTAGTTTGGGGCCCACGGTTGCCTCTGTCGCGTTTGCGTATATGAGCCTTTTATGTCTTGTGTATGCAAATAAATAAAAATTAATTATTAAATGTGTGATGCGGTTAGTTAGTACATATAATATGCTTATGCACTTCAATTCTATAGTCAATGATCTATCCCTTTGGAGTGCTAGCGTGTCTAATTTGAAACTTCCTTTAATAACACGTAATAAAAATATAACCGAGATTTATTTGTGGCTTATCTTGCAGTGTGTTATTGAATTCAGTGGATTATGTGACTAGTCCGTCGGTCACGATACAATGAACAATATATGTTACAAGTACAATTTAGTTTAATAATGAATAAGATTACTTCAAATAGTAGGTACTAAATAAGAGCACGATAGGTGCGGATGGTGGCCACCTGGGAGGTTTTAGTTAGGTAAAAATCCCACGCTCTAGCAAAAACCTAGGCACCTTTTAAAGATTTCCCCCTCAACAAGAAAAGGGATAAATGAAATGTATGTCAAATAACATAACATCTCGCTTTCTGTCCCCGAAGGGGTAGGCAGAGGTGTAAATTACGACAGTTTATGCCACTGTACAATGTAAGGTGCATTTGAAAATGCATGTTTCACTATTTATGTTACGAGTTTCATGTATTAGGGGGTGAACCTATTGCCATATACCGGGCACAATTCTAGACTATGTGCTACTAATGATTTTTTTTTAAACTCATTAATTCTGCCCTACCCGTCGCACTTACGACTAACTCAGCCAACGAGGCAATATTTAATTATAATATGTAGTATATCTATTTATCCCAGTCCCAATAAAGCAGACGAATTCAAGTAGAATTACAATAGACTAATTTATTCGTCTACTAAAATCTCAGGGCATCGCACGAGTTTGAACTACGACCTTGACCTGCGAAGGTCAATGTCAAAAGAATTTTATTCCAATTATTTCTTGTCTACACGTTCATCGACACATCTTAAATATGCTTATTGCTTTAAGTAAAATAATTGACAATTTTGTAGTCAGAAAAGTATGACCTTAACTTTCGACGATTTTTTTTAATTTTTTTTTTAATGGGGAAATATCATCGAATGACTTCTCTCGCCTGGGTGAGGCGGGAGTGAGTGTCAGACTGTCTCTTACGGACTAAAAACCACCCCGTTCCCACTCCTGCACTTCAAGCCTTGGACGACCTTCGACGAAATAGGCTTGTCAAAATTTTTGCTTACCTAATATGAGCGCTGGCGATGATTCTGTCTCCAGCTAGCTGCCACACGTGGAACTCATGGACTGCTAGAACGCCATCGACTTTTTCCAACAAACGCCTCTGTATCGCATCCACCTGAACAAATAAATTGCATAGCTTATCAATAAGCAAACAATTGTAGCACCCGTGTATATTAACATCGTAGAAAGTGACTCGTGTCGACAATAAATTTTATAATAACACGAGCTTGGTACACTACAAACGGTTTGATTGATTGTTTATTTAAGGTTGTGTTGTTTATTTCGCGTGCCCTGTGGAAATTACAATTTATTGTTATATTTTTTACTAACGCAGCAAAAATATCTTAAGTAAAATAAAAAAATATATTGATAAATTATGAATTATATATAGCTTCTACCAGCGGATAAAAAGTGTCCTATTATTACTAAGACCATCCAGACCACAATACTCCTGTTCTAAATTATACCTTGATTTCTTCGGGCGTTTGAAAGAGTAACAAGCACACACACAGCCACGTAGCCGTCAAGTTCATTAACTGCGTTTGTGACCACAAAACCTGGTCAGCTGAATGAGAGTATAATTTATTGTGGTACCAATAAACACAGAGGAAATAGGAGTTCCGCATTTCACCTCAAACAATAAAAATTCAAACAATGAATATTTCAGCAATAGAAGGTAACACCTGAAAGTGTCAATTTCCAAGGCTTTTTCATTGTTATTTATCTAAAACGGTATTTTAACTCATTGTAAAAATGCTATGAACTGTCAAAACATACCATTAATCATTCCAATTATCTACAAGTCTGTTAAATTGGTCAAGGTTCAGTCGGACAAATATTTTTGTATTTTTTTGGCACTTCTTTGTGACAAGGAGCACGTACCAACATAATCCTATTTGCTATTTGCAATTTACTTAGAAAGTACACTTTAAATATATTATCTGATAAAGACCATTAAAATATAAGATGTTTACAGTATAAAGGACCTACTTAAGTAGCTCGTTTTTAATCTGACATATGTAAGTAACGAGTTATTTTTTTCATTGATAATTTTGAAAGAAATTGGGACATAGTAAGTTTAGGGTGTTTACTCTTGAAACCAATAATCTCAATGTCAATACAATTTCAATCCAATAAAACTCAATCATTATTCAATGTCAACTGTACAACCCTTATCGTAGATGTTAAAATAGCATTCAGAGTACGGAATATAAAGTCAAACTCAATACCATTTACTTCATTAAATATCCACACAATACGGATGCAATGGGCTCTAGTGTTGCAACTTAAGAGTACGATATTTAACAATAACAATGTCGATCGATCGGAATTGGATTCAAGAGTAAGCACCCTGATCAGCGGCCTTTTATTATTAGAGGCTTAAGTTCGGGCGCTCTCATAGGTCTTATTTGTTTTAAGTACCGTGAAAAATCACTGAGTTAGCCAAGATTTTGAATCATTTACATTTACTGTCCTACATTTGCAAAACGTAATATTCTGCGAATTGAGAAATGAGTTCTCAAACGCCGAGAACACTAGTGTATCATGAGATTTCTTGTAAATTAAAAATTAAAGAGAATAACAAACTAACCTACATTTAATGTTGAACAACTTACCTGAATATGTGTTGGCACAGTTTGTAGTAGAATTAACGAAGACTCCCTGAGTAGGGGCCAGACGGACGCAAGTATCAAGATGACTAGCACTATACTGAGCGCGGGATCGATGTAGTACTTGTACTCCCAGTCCGTCAGCCATACCACTAAAGCTGAACCAACTACAATTAGGGAACCTGGAACAATGGAAATAAATATTTGTCAGGGCTTTAAGATACTAGTACTATAATTTCTACTTCTATAAAGGAGGGAAGCAGAGTCACACATGAGAATTAAATGTTTAATTCTTTTTAAGAGAACAGAGTCCGAAGAAAGATCTTTTATGGCGTTTTATTTGTTTGGTGTAAAGTCTTAAAGTCAGTTTGGACATACAGAACTGTCATAAATCATACCGATATACAACAGCTGTGATATATCAAGAAGCTCCCCTATTAGTCTATTAGACTACATAAATAGTTTACATACAAAATACTGTAATACTTTCCAAATCAATAACAAAGCAAGGGTTATCACAACACGATAAAAAAACCAGGTGTGTGCAACGGGTGCGTAAACAGAACACCATGATTGCTCCCCTTCATTAGATTACAAAATTAATCGATCATGAACCAAGTACGTATTTATCTACTGATCATTCATACAGTCTTTTATCGTCAAAATGTCGTAATTTCATAAGATTTTAATCTTAAATCGATGTAATTTTAACCTTCAAAGTACAATATTTGATAACATTTACCGATGAACAGTGTTTTGATCAGATTAATGACGGATATGATCACACCTTCGGTGAAATTAGTACAAGGTTACTATTGTTTCGCATTTGTTTTTGTAATGAAATAATGTCAATGACAGTCATCGACGTATCGATAGTCATTGTCCAGGGTCTCCATCTAGCTAATGTTAAACAATGACATGTTAGCTACAGCGTTTAGGTAACAACTCGAATGATAATAATAGTCTTTCAGTATTTACCATTGCAAAGAGCAGAACTGCGAAAAAACATCGGAAAAATATGAAAATAAACTTTATGTATATTTATTAGACTTTTATAATGGTAACTTATGATCATACGATAAACAAGGACATAGATATTGCTAATCATTAGTCGTAGTCAGTATAAGTGCCTTCCAATAATATTAGTTGGCCTAGACGTAGACTTCGAAACACCTTGAAACTATAATGCTAATTTATATCCTTAGCCATGAATGTGGTTGTTATCATTCAGTATAAGAAAAAGGCTTAAGGACATAGGTAGTCTAAATAATCACCACTTCTCTAATCTTCCTCTCTCCTACCAATTTTAAATGTTACTGTGCCCGACAGGGTCCATAATTGTTACTTTTTTACATAATTGTATTTTCTAACCACCTGTATATGTACATTATGGATGCAATAAATACTTGATTACTTGATTACCAAAGGATCATCATTAGGTCCATAAAATGTGATATTTTGTATTCGGAAGCCATTTTCTAGTGTTTGGTTGAAACAAGAGACCAGCTGGATCGATTTGATTAATTTTAGATTTAAATTATTTGATAAATTTTGATAATTCAAATATGGAAAAACTAATTTGTGAGCGAAGCCACGAGGCCAATCACTTTATAAAGGGTTGGTTTGATGACAATTTTGAATCATAGTCAATACACGTAAGCAAACGGAATTATTTATGAAACACAAATAACGTAAAGGAGCATACATAAGAGGATGATTTCCTCAATTGCCTTCAAGGAAAGATAATCAGGTTGATGTGGGTACTCCAATTTTCTTTCTATTCTAGGCCAAGACATTTATTATGCACTACGCTTTGACCGAGACCGAGGCGGTTGGAAATGAAACCTTAGACTTGAAAGGTCAGTTTAATTTGCTGGAATCGATTAAGGCCTACAACAATAGCTGTTTATAATAACAACAACGTAGCTAGCTTAATAATACAATAGTTATAGTTCAAGTAGGAAAACTTGGTGTTTAATGTTCACACTTCCTTTGAATGAACCAGGGACGAACATATTATTGTTAGCTGTTTGTGAACTTGCGTAGGTGTAGTTAATACTAGTTCCAAAGAACATATACATATATCACCACCAGGTGATATTACATTGCCCGGATGAAAGTAAAAGTGGCTAAATTACATTGATTATGACGAATATATTGTGTTTACTTTCACTTTCAAGTCATACTTATCTGTAAATGAGTAAGTTTCAAATAGGTAAGTGGAAATACTTGATCACACAATAGTCAATAAAATATTGTTGTATCATAAACACGGCCCAATACTCAAACGCTATTTAATTTAAAGTTATCACCACGTTTACAATGCTATCCTTTTTCCTCCAGGCTCATTCCAAAGACTTTTTATTAAAAATAATACGTTTATTTAGTTAGTTGATACTAACCGGAAACAAAAACAAAGAATTTAAGTTCTTAGAATATCTTCTTCATAATAAGTAATCATTTGAAATGCCTCAAGTCTGCGATAAGTTCTCGGACGATTATTTTTAGGGTTCCTTTTAATACAGGCAGTTCATAAACGGTGGTAGGCCGTTGACCTCTTGAAATAATTGATGAACTGAATGCTCAAGTTAATAAATATTACAGTATGAATGACTTATGAATTAAAGGCCCAATAAATCTAAGTTTAAGCGAGCGACAACGATATAATTAAACGCATTTGAAATGATATTTTATCTGTCTTTTAATTGACTAATTGAATGGTTTGACGTTTTTCTTATATAATAATGTAGTTAGAATATAGTTTCACGACATTTACGACCTTTTAATTAAACGTTCAAAAGAAGTAAATGATTAATTTTCTTTTAAATTGCGTTGGAAAGTTTAGATTTGTTTTTTGTTCGCGTTTGTCACGGCTGTATCAACAATTTCCTTGTCGAGTGTATTTAGCCAATGTCAAGGCAAACTTGGCTATGAGTCAAGTACCAAGGTTCCTCCGTAGAGCCTCGTGTTAGGAGTGAATGGAGAGAAACACAATAACGTCACAGTGTGTTACTTGCGTTAAAGGGTTTCAAATTACTATTCGGTATTGACTTACATTTTACGCAAGAAGATACTGGGTAGGCGGCAGAAAATTATGTAAAAATGTTATTAAGTGATGACAGGACCATATAATGGAACAGTTTCATTTTTATATTGGTTTTAAGTGTCACGACTTTTATAAAACAAAATGTCATAAAGTTACGTGACGTTTGAGTATTTGGTCAAAAGTCGATTGACACTTCTATTTTAAATAAAATGTGTGTTAAATGAAAAACTGTTTAGGATATGTTTTATGTCAATAAGAATGTTTTAAGTTATTATCGTCCCACACATTCTACACACGTTTAAAATAAGGGATTGGATTAATATCAAATGTTATTTTTGGCAAACAAGGTCCGAAGAAGATTTTGGCAAAGATCTACAATCCCGTTATGGGAACATTTATTGTTATTTAATATGCATCTATGATATAATAATTAGTAGATAAGTATAATTATGGTATTTTAGTTTATCGTCTACGTTGTTTGACTATTTTTAGAACTTTAGTCTGTTGAGCAAGAATTTATTTTCTAGGTTAAAAAAGATTCTTTAAGTTGTTTTTATGAGATCATACTTTTATATGGGAACATAAAGCACCCTTACCACAAGCAGAACTAGTGGTTTTATGAACTAATTTAAAAAGAATTCCCCGTCTGTGTTTCAATCATGGAGCATAAATAAATATTTATAAAACATAACACGACTCGAGGTAAAACCTTCGAGCTTCATTTTGTTTTTAATTAAAAATAAATTTAAATAAATCATTTCCTTATTTTTGTGTAGCGCTTTACAAATTCAAATGTATGTACCTACCTAAACAGTGCGATATTTTACAATAAGGTACGACGTGCTAGATATTTGTTTACCGATACTTATGTAGGATCTTGTATAAATTACGCATCAACATTACAATGGGTACATATTACTCTTCTATAACTCTTATAGACGTAGATTTGGAAATTACTAGCTACTTCCACGCGCGGTTTAATCAAGCTCTGCTCAGCGCCTATTGATCATAGCGTGAAGTTTTATAGCCTATAGCCTTCATCGATAAATGGAATATCTAATACAAAAATAATTTTTCACATCGGGCCAGTAGTTACTGATGTTAGCGCGTTCAAACAAACAAACTCTTCTGCTTTATATAATAATATAAATATCATAATATAAAGTATAATAGTATAAGAAGTATAAGATCATTTAGATTACATAGAATAATTACCTATTATACTTTTGTGAAAACTATTCAGTACAGTAACAAATTACATTCAAGTCATGTTAGACCTATATGGTATTAATAGTAGCGAGTCTGTAGCTATAATCCATACACGGATAGTAGGAAAAAATCAATTACTCAATATCAGGAGACGTGCGTGCGATTATTAGATCAACGTCATGAGTACACACAAGTCTCCATGTGATAAATTACACGTACCAACATTCATGAAAGGGTATTTGTATCAATCAATATAATTTTATACGAACAATATATTATGATAGTCATTCAAATAACAAATGCAATCAGATCTACATGTGAATATTTAATTCGATATTTGACTGGCTGCTTCGTTGGCCGACTAGTGGCAAGTGTGACAGCCGGGCAAGGGGTCTCGGGTTCGATTCACGGGTAGGGCAAACGTATTACTGGGTTTTAAAAAATAATCTCAGTAGTATCGGGGAGACTGGAATTGTGCCCGGTATATGACAACAGGCTAAGCCTCTATTACGTAGTACTCATAACATAAATAGTGAAAAGTGGGTGTTACATTGTACAGTGGCATTAAGTGCCGTAATGTGGACATCTGCCTATCCCTTTGGGGGTAAAAGGCGTGATGTTATGATGATGAACTAACAGGCTATAGTTTAAACTCTAGTTCAACTAAACGTTTCTAGGTTAAGGCAGTGTTCCGTGACCTAAATGTTACAGCTTTGCTTTGATTAACATTAGGCCCGCCCCAACACCGGCTTTGGTCCTATGTTTAGACATTTAGATGAATGACTCTGTGCTCTATAGGCTATTTAGTATATATAGTATATATAGTAACTATATTGCATGTTACTATTGACTGCCTCATTGGCCGAGTGGTCGCAAGTGCGACTGCCGGGCAAGGGGTCTCGGGTTCGATTCCCGGGTCGGGCAAAGTATTACTGGGTTTTAAAAATCTCAGTAGCACGGAGTCTGGAAAATTGTGCCCGGTATATGGCAATAGGCTCACCACCTATTACATGGGACTCATAACATAAATAGTGAAAAGTGGGTGTTACATTGTACAGTGGCATTAAGTGCCGAAATGTGCACCTCTGCCTACCCCTTCGGGGATAAAAAGGCGTGATGTTATGTTGCGTTTATGTTTATGTATATTGCATGTACTGTACTATGATTCATGATTTTCCTACTACCTAGTATCATTATCTACGAGTGTTACTCGTTAGTTCGCTCGTGTGCCTTTAAATGACTGCAGTAAAGATAAAATATAAGTGATTGTGCATACACATACAATTTTCTCACTAATAACTAAATTTAGAGCCGATTTTTTTTCAAAGGATCAATTTTTTGAATACATATTTAACAATTATTCCATATTAAATGCTGTCATATGTCAATTTTATTTTAGTTATATGTTATCTGTTGATTGAAAAATTGGGTTACTAAATACTTCGTCTAAAGTGATCGCTTTAGAACAGGAGTCGAGAATTTTTTTTTTATAGTAGGCAAATGTGATCACAGATTTCCAGCTGTTTTTTATTTTATTTTTGATGGTAATAGGTCATCTAGCGACCCTTACAGCACAAATAGAGTCAGTGTAATGTTATTTTTCCTATTAATATTTATGTATATGACCTCTTCCGGTTTCGATTTTATTTAGTGGAAAAAACAATAATGTTTTCCTTAACACACTAATTAGAGGAGGTTACCATGGAAATGTGGCAATCAATAAATAGACTTAAGGAAAAATCAAACAAAATATTATCACATAGGTATATATCACTATTCTTCGAATGATGACATTAGTCCTGCTTTTTGTACCGTAGGTAGTACGTATATGTGCGTAAGAGCATGAATAAATTAATTATTTATACTCGTGTAGTCGTTCATTGGTTATGGCCGCGCGAACAGATTGTTCTTCTGTTCATCTGCACATTTCATCGGTTTTTTAATAACTTTATTATTATTTTTATATTCATCATTCATCGGTTCTTTAATAACTTTATTAAAATTCACAAATAGGTACCTACACGAAAACGTCGATATGTTACTCAATTACAAGTTGCTTTTAAGCTCTATAAGTTAAAGTGTAGTTTGAGTATTTGGCCCTTACAACATGGTGATGGTAAAAAAAACCTATTTCAACTGTTCAAGGCTGATGTTGTATTAATAACACGAAAAAGATTAAAATTGTAAAAATAATTTATTTTTGTCAGCATTTCGGGAATGTTCTGTTTGTACACTGTATATTTCTTGTATGAACGATTTGATTAGGACTACGCTTTGACTACGCTTGTATTTTAGTCGAGTGACGAGTATTTAGTTGCCTTCTCTCGCTTCTGACCCAAAATCGAAGCGAGAACTATGAAAAACTCACTACTCGACTAAAATACTAGCATAGTGCGAACAAAGCATAAATGATTCTCCACGTAAAATATAATGGTATTCAACCGAGTGAGACTATGAGGAGAAACAAAAGAAACCTAATAGATTGCGATAACCACGTGTATTGCTTACGTAGTCGCCAAGTGGCTACATCTAACTCAATGGAAGCAATTAAAACCCGCGACCAATTACAAGTATACTTTCTCCTATTATTTAATTTTACACAGCACGCAGACATACATCTTTAAGATATTCAATATTACTATTATATTAAGTAATGGGAATAAGTTTGTGAGTATGTGTGTGTTTGTTAATGAATCACGCTAAAACAGCCGAAGAGATTGAAATTAGATTTGGAACATGGATACTTGGATAGGTTATGGTTTAGAATAACACATAGGCTACTTTTTATGCCATAGGAACGCGGCCGAAACCGCAGGTAGAAGCTAGTTAGTTATAAAGACAAGTAACATTCTGTGTGTGTGCGCGCGTGTGTACGTGTACTGAATGGGTTCTGATAGGATTTTAATTTTTAGGGAGTACCTAACATAGGTTATTTTATCATAGTATTCCAATAGGATCGGAACCTATCTATAAAAGCTAATCAATTAACTAGTAAAAAACGCTTATGTTGGATAATACGAACAATATCCTTATATTCAAGAGATCCATAAAAGACTGACATTTAAGTCACAATACTAAAGAGGTTTAACTCTGTGGGTGTGAAGTTGAAGAACAAAAGAGAAAATATAATGGCCAATGACGTAATTGTGTCATCTAATACTTTTCGAATTCGATTTAGTCGCCTACGGACTAGGTATTATGAATCGAGATTACCACTGACACGCATTGTATTTTCTTTCAATTTCACATGCAACTGCTAACAAACAATGAGGTAATCGATCGTTCTACGAGTGACATATTTTATAGGTCACACAAGAATTTATTTAGTTACGAAATATAAAATTATTGCTTCAGAGATTCAGCAGCAAATTAATGCATACAAGCCCGCCATAACCTGCCAAAACCACCATAATTATTCCAACTCCTGTAAGCCAGGATTTTCAGTAGATACAACCATGATAATACCGGAACACCGAAGTTCGGCGGGTCCCAGGGACATGAATAACTGTCTTGGATCCCGCAACGAAATATCGAAAACATATGATAGAAAAGTCAACAGTAATCTTGATACATAATATGAAGAAATATAATAAGTATTAAAATCTCAAAGACATCATAGTTTGTTAACTATTAATTATTGTAACCATACGGTCACCTGTTACACACGCTTGAATACAATATTTAATTTAGAATGCACATACATAAATAAAATAGAATTTAAAACAACATAAGATCACTCACCTAAAGCATCAGATAGGATATGCAGGAACACGCCCTTCATATTCATGTGTCCGGGGTCGTGTGCCGCTCTGCATGGAGTCTGTTTCTTATTATTTGGTACTTTGTCGGGCTTCGGCGGGACCATCTCGTCAGTTTCTTCAGTGTCCGTAGCATTATGACCCAAGGCCATGTCAGCATTGCTGTTCACGATCTCCGTGAGATGCCTTACATTTGCTGGCGGTGGGACCCCGCCATGGGAGTGCCCATGACCACCACCATGATCTACGACAAATAAATTTCATGAATAATAGGATTTAAGTCTATTTTAGACTAGGTAAAGGATTCTTCAAGATAAAAACAAACAGAAACCACTTAAAATGTAGAGCAAACTGTATCGGTGATTATGATAAGGCAAGGCGCCCAAGACAACGAGTTTAATGTTCTAATTTTACTTCTAAGTAATAAACATTACATATTGCTAATGAATCTTTTAATTATTGTATTGTGACAGCACAATACAATAATTAAAAGATTCATTAGCACTAACAGTAGTTCCGTTGTAGTTTTGTATGCCAATGTTCTTTAGAATGACTAGAATGTTGGCAGAGAGTTGAAACATAACTTTTAAGCCCTACTTCGGAACTAGGCTTTCAGATATTTACAGTAGTTCGTAACTGAGCGGGAACTTTAGGATTAGAACCACGGTGCAATCTAAACGTTCTCGCAATAGTAAACATAACTTCAACACAAACAAAACCTCTCAGTACAAACATGAAATTATTTCCTACGTACACATCTGGGATCAAGTTGACTATAGCATAGTAATTATATTGGTTACGTATAAAAGCCTTAACTATTTAAACTGACCCTCCAAAAAGAATCAAGTTGACTTATTATGCCTCTTTAATCATGTATCACAAAATGAATTCGATAACCGGAAAACATCGATAAACGATTCCTGAGAGGAAGTAAGAAAAAATAATTCTAACGTTAGAAAAATTCAAAATCCGACTCGGTCAGTTGTTTAAAAACAAGCAATAAATATTTATGATGTGGGTCCACTGCCTATACCGGTCGTAAAGAATGTTTGCATTATTCTGACGTAACAGCAAGGTCGAAATACTGTAAGCTTTAATTTACTCTCTTGGACTGCATCTCGAGGTTCTTAAGATTAGATTTTTTTTGTTGTGAGATAAACACGTTTTTATTTACTAAGAATGGATTACTTGTCACTCTCCCACTCTCCTACTGTATAACTACAACTGATGTCTTTAGCAACCATTATCATAATGGTTTCTGACTAGTGATCTACTAACAAAAAAGGGTATGGGACCTAGGATTTCCCCTAGGGAATTCCATCACAATTTCGCTATAACACTAGCGTATATATTTTATTCTATTAATCAATCTATTTTTTGATTCTTCGTAAATAAAAGCTACATAATTAAACTGTCATAAAACATAATTATTACTAAATTTTTAAACCACGAAACTGTATTGCGTGTCTTTAGATGTAGATCAATGCTTTAGCTGTAGGATTGATATAATAAAATTTAGGCGGGACGTAGCGGCACGCAGGATTATTAAACGCAGTTTGAATACAAAATCGATGTTTTGTATATCTATTACCTACACAAAACCATTGAACAAGAACGTATTTTATTGCTTGGTCTTGGATTGTAATCCTCAATAACTTCGTATTTATGCATTATTTTACCTGAATGATATCTGAAACTGATTGATTTATACGGGTAGTTAGATACATGACTTGATAAATGTTTTGAATGATACTATAGTAGATTCCATATTGTTTATATGACTGCTGGAATCAATCATTTCATAGATGACACTAACTAGTCAAACATAGTGTTGTACTATGAAGAAAATATTGTTTACGTCTACTAATACGGCATACATAGATAGGTGTCAAATCCCTTAATCTTATTGAAAGTGCAGTTAGAAAGGTCGATGAACGATAGTATAATGGTATTAAGGTATTACGCGATCAAAACAAGTGATTACTGTATCGGCTTTTTTAACAATTATAAATAGCAAATTACTGTTTATACAACATTGTGCCTAATATTATGTTGTATATTGTATGATACAAAAGCAATTGACTCAACTAATAATAAACACATTGTGGTCGGAACTCCATACTAATATACCTACCTACAACACTTATTAAAATATCTAGCTCAAGAACGATCACAAGACACTTACCATGGAATAGGAACAGGCCAACGATGTTGAGCAGCAGACCTAGAGTACCGACGGCGACCAGCAGTCTGGCATCGTGAATCATTTCAATCTCTATAAATCTCTTGACTGCCTCAACTGTTATGCTGAAACACAGTGCAACCAGGAACACTGCGTTGACCAACGCGCCCAACACTTCGGCACGGGCCCACCCGAATGTGTTCTTTGACCATTTCTTTGGCGACATCTGTGTACAAAGAATCGTGTTTAGTTACAAATAATACACTCTTATTTAAGTCTGTCTAGGCATTAGAATCGATGGGCTGCACCATACTCCCCGAAAGCTAAACAGATCATTTCTCACAGTACAGTTTGGTTTATCTGCACACCCACTTTTCACAATTTATTTGAAGTTATGTTATAGGTTTATTTTTAATAAACTGTTGCGTCATTTTATATTTTTTTGTGGGTCGTGGGTGCGTTTGCCCTTTGTAAGTACCTAAAGACGAGGATTGCTGTCTATAGTTAAAAACGAATCATTCGATAGCAATGCAAAAAATGTTTAATTGCGACCCACTATTAAAATCCTTGAATGGTTTAGTTTTAAATTCAGCGAAATATTACGTAGCACATGACGTCACTAAAATACGATTTTTTAAAGTTAACTTATATGAGTCACTCGATTGGAGATGTGATACACGGGGCTTCGCGTTATTTCCTAAACGGTTACCGTGATGATTTCATGACGTCATTCGCTTCATTAAATCAGTTTTACAACTAAAGTGATGTGAGAATATATACGGGTTCATGAGAATAATTTGTTTTATAAGGAAATATCATTTTTTCTATGGAATTTGTTATTTTTTACCTTATAAATAAGGATAACCGTTTAGAGACAACACACTCGGTAATTAAATATTTCTATTAAAAGTAGTCATACAAGAACAAGGTCCTAGATTTTAATCGATTTTATCCCTAGGTCATAGTTATATTAATTTTGCTCATTAACAGGAAAATTCTCAATAACACATTCACATGGATAACATAACGGAAGAGGACAAGAGTTCATTTTATACGAGTGTATTTTATGTTCGGGAAATATAAAGTCTATTAAAGTGTCCTTTATTTACAAATACAATTTTACTTATTCTGTTCCTATTCATATTTGTGTTAACATAGAAACCAGACATAAGTCTCAACATTAATTAGCATAAAGGTTGATATCACAAAAGTAAGTTACTTTACGTACAATAACAAATTACAAACAAACAAGTACCAATACAAAGGACTATAAAAACAATACATTCAATTGACGACAAACATGGCCGTATGTTTAATATTTAATTTGTAACAACAGACAAATTATCAATTTACAATTTATGTTAATGGAACAAGGGAATATCCGTTGATCGCATGCGCAACTACCGAGCAAGGCGTCTTGCGTTAAAATACTAATTTGGGTAAACTTTTTGTAATAGATAATATTGTCAGCAATATTCCCTGGTGTCTGGATAGGCGCACCCTATATTCATGGGGTTGGTGACGACATAACTACACGGTTGGTGCGGTGGCCAGGCAATCGGCTGCCGTGGAACGTGACGCGGGTTTGATTCCCGCACGGAACAACAGTTTGTGTGATCCACAAATTGTTGTGGCAACATTTGCATAACACAACTGGCGATCAAGTGGGTAATTTGCTTGATAAGTGCATATATGCATCCACGCTACTTTGGAGGAACAAAAGGCTGTTTCTGGATGTAGTATATAATATTAACAAAACAAGGAAACTTACCTTAACTGATAAAAATGCGATAACAAGTGCGGCAACATCACTTAACATATGAAATGAATCTGCAACTAGGGCCATAGAGTTGGTGATGTAGCCGACAATCAGCTCCACAAAGAAGAAGCTGCCAGTCAGCCATAACATCGACAATAGTCGGCATTTTTTACCCGAAAACCTCCCCATGGTATCTGTTGAAGAAATAAAACCATTAATATAATTGTTCACAATAAATCAGTGAGTAACTTACATTTTACATGTATTTTAGCTTAGTTCTTATGCTTATAAAATAATAAATTTGAGCAAAGTTCAGACATCATAGGGACAACTAATTAGCAGCACAGTAGGACCTCTAATAATCTGAATACTTAATAACTACTCTGTTAAACAATTCTATACAACTAAAGTAAAGTATAAGTACTGTCGAGAGTATGGCAGAAAAACATTTATAGCCTATTTTGAATAGTTCCTACTTTTCAGGCAACTTTGGGTTTGCAGTAACTAGCTGGTTAATTTTATGAAATAGCCAGGTCTAATTGTAATAATGTAAATTCAAATATTAGGTAATTAAAATACCTAGTATTTTCTAAATTTGTTTCAGATGTGAGAAGGTAATAAAGGTGCGTATGATTAGTTCCAGCATTAGAAAATACTGCACAGTTTGCAACAATTTAATCAATTATTATGGTAATTAAAAGTTAATGAGAATTAGACCTAACTGGTACTTAAATGATAAAACATTTAAGACATTATTTCTTTTGTATAATGTTCAATATTTATTGCACTTCAGTGATTTCTGAATAAATAATTTAAGATTTATCAGATACAGACATAAAAAGAAAGTAGATATGTTGGATGATAAATATTTGAGGATATTGTAGAAGTTTTGTTATTTTAAGTATATTAACTATGCATTATAAGCTGTACTGCAAGTATATTGACATAGGCTTATTTTTGTATTTGGGTGGAACTATAGGACAAGTTTATGTACAATTTTGTCTTTTATCTTTTTCTGATTATGCCCAAAATAATGTTTGCAACAGAAACTAAGTTTATTTTTAAATTAATGTTTTTAATAAAATTTTTAGTATTAGCCAACAAAGCAATGTCTCTAGTCTAGTCTAAAATAAACTTATCATGTGCCATACAATCTGCTTTGTTAAATTTACAAATTAACTTTAGAATTATTACTGAGTGTGTAACACTGTGGATATTAGTTTTAAAATAACTACAAGAGTTTATAATCGGTTTTGTACCAGAATTTGGTACTACAGGGTACCAAACAAGTATTTGTAGTAACAAATAAGAGATTTTACACTTACATTAACTAATTTATTCCAAACAATTCATTGTTTATTCATATCAGTTGTAAACCTGACAACGAAACGTGCGTGACTCATGCAGAATTTCAAGATATAGGAACAAATACCCTGAACTAAAAAAAATACTCACTTGGTATGAAATTCCTAAGCTTCGCGGCGATGCTAATCTTCCATCAGGTGCTCATAACTTGATAGTGGTACACTAAATATGCACACTCATTTCACAACAATAGGTTCAAATGCAATATTGATTCTACTTTAGCCAGGCATAAACATAGAACACCACGAATACTGGATAACGTAAACATCTAACACTATTGCAGAAGTCGAAAACAAATATCTTATATAGTGCACCCGTTAATTTCTGTGAAAATAATCATATAGAAACGAAATAATGTGAAAGCTGATGGGTTAACCGTGTCGCAAGAAATTTTTATTCACTTTAAATTTTGATGTGAAGCCAATGAATAAGAGAAACAAATAAACGTTTAGTGCACTGTGGATAATGTTATTTCACTTTATTGTAACCAAATTTACGATGAATCGCTAAGTTCGATAGGTCTCAGCGAATTCCACACAATAATCTGTTTGATCCTGCTGCCTGCTGTCATTATGTCAACCAACTCAAATTCAATATCATTTCATTCGAGATGTTTCCACTCGACTAATTATAAAATCGACTAAGTAGCATTTTATGATATTTATTTGGTTTAGTATGATTTCTTTTCTTATGCTCTTTCAATAATATCTTTACTGCTACTAGCTATTTTATAGTGTATCATCTGTGACTGCTACATTATATTTATTAATTTATAGCATACAACACTAAATGGTACTTTATTTGTCTATTATCCCACGATGTCGTTCGTTAAAAAAAATCATTCCTGAACGTAATGTTTATATTGTTTGTTTGACATATCTTTGACGTAGCAGTATTTTCTACGTTTGACTTTGACAGATAGATGTTCTTTTTGTCAAATTGTCAATGTCACCGTACCGAAAACGATTTTAATATTATTAGTAAATTAATAATATTTTATTTTAATGTGTTCTCGATTAAATAGCTAGTTTAAGACCAATGAACGATTAATAATCGGGCAGTTGACACATAAAGCAATGACAATTTTGTTGGAATCTTAACATTACCTGTTTTGAAAACACAACCTTAAAATATGGCTTTTACGAGAATAGTTGGTAAAGCCTGTGGCTTCATGGGATATGCTTTACAAACGGCTTGTATTACTCACTGTACTTTTGAATACGTCGGAGACTTCGTCATGGTAATTTCTTTATACAATAATACAAACTACACTGACAGCTATGAAGTAACTGCGTAATAAGCTGTATTTTCGTTTTTTGCAGTGCTCTGGTCCATCAATGGAACCGACTCTTCAAACAAACAACATACTATTCACCGAACACGTATCTCCGCGGTTGCAACGACTGCGGCGCGGGGACATAGTAATATGTCGGAGCCCTTCTAACCCTAGACAGAATATTTGTAAACGAATAACTGGTCTTCCAGGTGACCGCGTTAGAGGTAATTTTCCCAAACGTAACCAAGTAGTTCCTAGAGGCCATGTGTGGTTAGAAGGGGATAATTCCAATAACTCTGCAGACTCTAGATCTTATGGCCCCGTTCCTGAAGGACTCATTAGAAGTAGAGTTGTTTGTCGTGTTTGGCCTCTAGATAAAATTGCGTTAATATCCCAATGTTGAATACTTAATACTAGGAAACCAGTGATATTGAACTAGAGATGTTTTTTTGATACTAAGAGTCCAAGTGATGTAGATAAAGCTACTATTTACCAATGGTAAGGAAGTTTTTTTTTAATGTAGTGCACAGAGTGTATTGGTTTTTATTTCTGCCTAATTTTTAGGTGCCAAAATAAAAACAAAATTATGTTGATAGTATGTATTTGTTATATAAATAAATAATTTTATTTAGTCAATACTTTTTTTATTCTAGGGATTAATTTCTATGGTCTTAATTGATCTTGGTTCCATAATAATATCAATATATCTAGAGCTGCTTATTCTTATTTCCACATTCATTGGTCTTCTTCGTCTGAAAAATAAAAGAACAGAATAAGTAAACAGTTTGTAGACATTCAAAATGTTATCTTGAAACTAGTAATTCAAAATAGTCTTTTCAGTTTTATCAATAATAATGTAAGCTAGATACTTTATCACCTAATTAACAGTTATGTAATCTTAATTACTCTTGGCCAGTTCTTTCATAATAATATTATAGAAAGGAGATTATTAAGTCAAAATATTAGGCCACTAAAACCCATTAAAAACTCCTTAAACTTGATCTATTGGCTCAAGGAATGTTCTGCTGTAACCAAATCCTAAATCCCATCAATAAAATTTAAATGAATTTGGTCCTACTTGGTAAGCAAGCCCATAAAATATCATAAACTAATAAATTACCTGTTCTGCATTACAACCACAAGATTTCCATTCGGTTTCCTCACAGCTACATTTTCGATGCTAGCTATACTTCTTCGCGACACTCGTACGCGTCGAGACCCTCTTGGAATGAACTTGGAGAAGTGACCCATAGCATAGAACATAGGCTGTTTGATAAATTCATCTCTGTCTTTGTATACTAAGATGGGTGAGTCCACGAAGTTATCTACCCAGTTGGGTCCACCAATGGGATCGAGACAGAGATTCCAATCTATCCATCCCACTACATGGTTATTCAGGTCCTGTTAAAAATGGAAACAATGGTTACTAATATAAACTTGACACAACTTCTCAAGTAAGATGATACACAATCGGCATTTGCAGATCACTAAATACTCAAACTAATGCAGCATTCGACTCGATGAATAAACTTTCAATGTCGACTTTTTTTTTAAAGGGGGGCAAATTATCGAATGATTTCTCCCATCTGGGTGAGGCGGAAGGGAGTGTCAGACTCTTGCTAACAAAAAACCACCCCATTCAAAATGTCTACTATCTCTAAAATCCTTCATTATTCATAATCATATTTAAAGATTTATTCAGATCATCAATAGGTCAATTCAGACCTGTTGATAGGGTGACTAAAAGCTTTCTTAAAAGTAAAAACTTCCTGATTTGGATACGTACTTGTAAGATGCTCTTGACATAAGTGCCAGCTCGCCTCCAGGATCCAAGAATTACTTTATCTAAATTCCAAGGCATAGAACCTGAAATATAAAAATATGTATTTAGAAACCCTAAATATAAATATAAAAACATTTATAAAAAACATTGTTATTAGGTCATTAATTACATATAATAATTGCGAATCCAAACGAGTTCTAAACAAATCACGTAAATAACACGCTAATGTGACTTCGACTACCAGAAGTAAATTAAAAAAAAAATATTGAATACAATAGAAATACCTATATAAACTACCGTTAAAGATTAAAAAGGAATTCTACATAGCTATGTAGGATTTGTGTTAAGTATAATATGTCCATATTGTCCAATTGTCCTCTGATTCAACGGCATTAATATCAATAGGAACTCTTTCAACAGATAACAAAAAATTTAGACTTGATAGATATGAAAGAATGAAAATTGTAAACATATTGGGTGATCGTGTTTGGGGACTCCTTTTAAGCAAGATGTGCCTGTGTTAGGAGACTGAGATATACAGTATTTTCGAAGATTATAATGCTATGCATATTTTTGAAAAGTAGTTAAATTTAATGAGAAAAGTTCTATTAATTTCACGCTACTAGGACGCGGCGATGTCTCGGGAGTAGGGTGCGCCGCTCCATCCACTGCCGCGTCCACTGCTCATTAAGAAAGAGTCTCTCTGTGACTCGAAAGTAGTAGAACGATTCTCATTATTTCACGTGAGGAAAGCGGTATTTTTATTAATTTTGTATGTCTCACGCACGATAGTTATTGTTATTATACAACTATGGATGCCATGGTGGTAGACAATACCTTCACAAGCTTCTGTAGCAAGAAGAATCTTGTCAGGGTATCTATGCTGGATAGCTGACAGTATTTGTGGCGGGAAGAAGTTCCCATACCAATGGACAGCTACTCCGTCCATGTAGTCTACGGATTCAGGCGCTGCGAGCTCCATCTGCGAATTAGATAATAGTTTATTCATACGAGCAATATATTTTTTACGAGATTATCATTTTGAGTAAACACCGGTCGGCAAGCTACCTACTAATACTAAGGTGACAAACAGGCCATCAAAAAACAAAAATCCAACCAATTTTTATATCTATCAGTATATAAGCAGTTATTTGATAAAAGTAGCATAGTTTTGACTCTATAGAACTATCGTTGCAGATTATCTCCAGTATTCTTTTATGACCTTCGATTGACCTCGTCACAACAATTCCGAGCATCGATGTTCAGAATTGATTCCCAGGTGTGGTAACTCAGTTTTGAGTTTTTCAGTTATCAGAAATTCTCAGCATCTTTAATGGTACCCAGTACAATAGACCTTATAATATGATACCCTAGACATAGCTAGTACTGCCTGCTGGTAGATAGTGGGCGTAATATCCAATATGAGCACCTCACTTCCTTAGAGAATTAAATACGTAATATTATAGGTTCTAAAACTTACTCCCGCTAAATAAACTGGTAGGAGGTATCGTTGATCATCAATAGCAAGGATTTTTGTCTGGTTGAAACGCGAGTTCTTTATCGTAGGTCCGAGGTTGTCAGCTAGCCAGCGACCCTGCAAACAGTCAACAGTTCATTATCATCAGTTATAGTAGTCAAAATACTCGCAACCCGTACCTACCTACGACTTTGCAAATTCCTAGGTTCGTAGCTTTATTAAGCTACGCTATCGTAGATACGTAGCATCTTATGGGTCTACGAAGCAGTAAATACGAGGCATACTACGCAATGAGTCTACGCAATGGAAGCTACGTAGCGTATTAAGCAGTCGTAGCTACGCTACGTACGGTGTAGCTACGAAGCTACGCCACGGTACCCACGTAGCGTGCTACGCAGCCTTAGATACGTTTAAGTTTGTGCATAGCATACTACGAGGCTACGCAGTCGTAGGTGCGTAGCATACTATGAGGCTATACAGTCATAGTTCCGTAACGTGCTATGATGCTACGCAATCGTAGTTACGTAGCGTGCTTCGAGGTTACACAGACGTAGGTGCGTAGCATACTACGAGGCTACGTAGTCATAGTTGCGTAGCATGCTACGAGGCTACGCTGTCGTAGTTACGTAGCGTGCTACGAGGCCACACAGTCGTAGCTATTTAGCCTGGTACGAATCTACGCAGTCATAGTTTTGCTACATGTAGCATACTTCGAGTCGTAGGTCTTTTTATTGTATTTATTGTATATCATAAGCTATCCGTTTATACGTACCAACTGATGAGGGAACCACCCTAAAGAGTTGAACTGCACGAATGGAACAATGCCGTTAATAGGTTCGTTTGTTGTGGTTATCGCCCAAATCTTAACGTCAAATCTATCGTATTCTTCGATGAAACTGAAATAAAAAAATACAGTTATAACAATATACTTAAAATGTAATTCTGTGCCTCGATGACATGTTTAGTTTTTGGATTACATAACTTACCGTAAGTGGTAATCAGCGAAAGCCTGGTAGTATTCTCGTTTGAGTTGTGCAAACCCTGTGATCGCTTCATTGGTTTTCATCCAAATTGGAGGAGACCAGGTACTGGCAGTTATTTTGATTTCATCTGGAGCAACGCTCTGTGCTCTTTTTATCATTGGCAGCTAAAACGTAAAATATACTTATGAGAGTGTACGGCAATTTACCGAGTGACGTCTCTAGTATAGTGTAGTGATGCGGTCATTGCAGTTCAGTCTTGTCAGTTTTATTGAGTAGGAGAGTAGTTATAAGAAAGAGTTTATCTTAAAAACCTAGTTATTGGTATAATATTACCTTCAAAAAGAAGTCGTGGTGTGTTAGGGAAAAGTTAGACAAGGTAGCATCGTTCCAAGGACTCTCGGCGTAAGTGTATGGGTATTCCGAGAAATCACAACCAGCTATCGGTACTCTGATCATGTTATACTCTATTCCTTCTGGGCCGAAGTAGGTTCTGTAATTGAAAGACGTATTTTTTAAGAATGATAAAATGTGGAGGTTTCTTTTATCAAGAACTTGTTCTTAACTCGTCGAGTACCGTATTTATAGACACAATTAAAGAACAATAGGTTGCGGTCACCGGTGACCGCTTGGTGTTTGACAGTATAAATTGATTTGCCAATATATCAACTAACCTAATTTGTCAACTTTACTTGATTGTTATTTACTTATTACGTACGTACGCTCAGCATCAAAGTTGATAAACACATTTAGATTTTCAAAATCGCTGTACACCGTATTACCGGCAACATGACAAGCGCCAGAATAATAATTATCTCGTGTTGCATTTAAGGTGCTTGTCATGTTCGCCGATTTAGGCATAATACGGAGTGCAGCAATTTTAAAAATGTAAATGTGTCCAACAACTTTTGATGGTGCCCGTACATAAAGGCAGGCTCAAGTACCTACGTAATCCTTGTTGCTCTTCACACATAACATAACATCACGCCTTTTATCCCCGAAGGGGTAGGCAGAGGTGCACATTACGCCACTTAATGCCACTGTACAATGTAACACCCACTTTTCACTAATAATGTTATGAGTCCCATGTAATAGGGGGTGAACCTATTGCCATATATCGGGCACAATTCCAGACTCCGTGCTACTACTGAGAATTTATGAAAAACCCAGTAATATTTTGCCCGACCCCGAATCGAACCCGATTCCCGGTTCCATACAGGGGGGTTCGGGCAAGGGTCCGGCAGGCACCTGCGACCACTCCGCCAACGAGGCAGATTGCTCTTCAAAAAAGGTTGAAAATGAAATAATACCTAAGACTATCTACGTAACAAAGTAGCGAAAGACTCTTACTGTATGAAGGTTTCTTGTGTAGCCTCCGAGAGAGTGCGCCAGTTTATAGCAGCTGCATCAGTGACAGATCCACCGAAACCTTCGATGACCTGGTAGCGGGTGCTTGGGTAGATTCGTAGGACTACGTTGGTTAATATGTCGTAGACTAAAAAATAAGATTTTTCTAGTAAATATGTATAGTACTCGATGTTAGAAAAGTACAAGCATATTAGATTTTGATTTGATTAAGTGTACATAATAGTAGAAACAATATTTGCAGATAACGTGTCTCACTTTTTCGTTACGCAAACTTCAAACATTTAACAGTAAGCTTCGTTTCCACAAGGATTATCTAGGAATTAAAATTAAGAGTTTTTGTCACGGTAAAACAGGCATAAAAACTGCAGTGCTTAAGTAGAAAATACACTGGTAACATACGTTCAGGTCTGTCGGCGACTCTTTTGAACTCTTCACTGTCTTCATCATCGTCCTCATCCTCTTCATTATCATCGTTTTCTTGTTTGAATGGTGGGTCGGGAAGGTTCTTTAGTTCACCAGCTCCAAAATCCATCTGTATAGGCTCAGGTTCAGGCTCGAGGTCTCCGGGGTCATCAAACCTTTGTTCAGGCAACGTTTTGATTGTACCGTAACTCTTCTCGAAACGTTTTCCACCCTATGTTTAAATAGATGAAAATGTACTTAGTTGGTTATTCTATATGTATGGAAATCTATGACTAACTTCTGAATAGTTCATTTCGAAAATGTAATATATCGATTAAAATATCTAATGATGCAGTTGGAACATTATATCTATTTATACCTAGATACTTACGTGTGTAGAAGTATAGACGACGTAAGTGCCTCGTGCTGGATTCTCTCTAGTGATAGTATCGCAGTAGGTAGAGTTACATACACAGACTATGGACCTGAAGAGGCCGGCTCTACGCCGCTCACATGGTTTGTCTTCAGCTGCAATAGATTAATGGCTTGTTCAGCATTTATAAGAACTTTATTGTACGGTAAAACTGCTATTAAAACCTGTTAACATCTTTATTGGGTTCAATTTACAACTCTTCATATCTTAAATGTGAAGAGCATCTTTACATAGATATTGATGACGTACATGAAGGCAATTGCCAGTAAAAGAAGATGTATGAACCTACGTCGCGAAAATTGGTTATGATCCCATTAAAATGTTAAACGAGTTTGTGTGAAGATTCATGGATGTGGTTGAAATGAAAGTTTAAACTTGAACTGGGGCATGTAATGTCACTTGATAAGGACGATACGATTTGCAAAGTGCATACCTACTTTATGTTGCAAAAATCCGGTAGATGCGGGTTATATCGCCGTTTATCATTGTTTATGTAGGTACGTAAGTAGACATCTAGTGTTGGTACCTAAGTACTTACTTTTTCTAATCTTCCTAGTGAGATTTGGTATCAATCCGCTACAGTATGAGTCATACTATCATGTAATGCCAAAACAACTCCAGTCTCAACTTTCGACATAGCAATAGATGCCTACGAGGACGTGGAACATTATATTACCTAACTGATGAATAATGCGTGCGACATTTTATTTGACAGCTCTGCTTACCCCTTTTAATTAGAGATATCTTACATTTTACAATGTCAATCAAGTTTACTCACCAAATTGTCCAACAGCTAGCAACGAACATAAAACCACCGCTGCGGCGATCCATCGCATATTTACGGAGATCGCCATCTAAAAAGTCAATCGTTAAGCTTTATGATTTAAAATTCAACTAGTTAGTTACAAATCTAGATACATCACTTATTACCTAGGTACAATACCAACTTAATACTTCAAGAGAATACTAACAGCTACCTACTTAGGTCCTTTTAGTGCCCGAATGGATTGCTTACGTTCGGTTTCGTGTCTCATATCACTTATTATTATTTTGATGCTTATAGTACTGAACGAGAACTTATATGACCTGACAGGTTGCAGGTATCAAACTCACCGAGCGTCGGTAGATATGCGGGCCGGAATCGAGATACATTTTTAAAGAGATTTTTTTGGCTTTGCGTATAAGGATAAATAAATAATCTACCTAATAAGTAAAATTTGTTCGATTATGGACATACTTATTAGGTATTTTATAGACTTTATTGATAAACATTCTAATTAATTTGGTATTAGACCATTGATATAGCTATGTAATTATTAAATTATGTTTCTAATTGAGTCTTAGGTCATCCTTTTACTTTTATCCTTATGGACGTAATTGATTCCCGCAAAATTCTGTGCGACTATAGACCGGAGGTCTTGGATTCCGTCTCCAGATCAAAATAGTGCCACTCGTCTATTTTTTTTATTAATATATCTCATAGTACCTACCAATTCGGATGCAGTAGGTACATAGATTAAGATCACCAAACTATATATACGATTAATGACATGGTTATCTAACTAGTAGGTACGAAGTAGGTGTATGTACAAAGGAACTGCATTGCCTACCCGTTTCGGGAATAACAAACGCAATGTTATGTTTACGTAGTTCTTAAATCCGACTAATTAGAAGCCTAAGCTATGATAAGCTGTATTAAGAGATATATCATGTATATAGATAAACAAATAAATGTAATAAATTGTATTTAGTACATGGTCATTGAAGGGCATTCAGATCATTATGAGCGGTACCTTTTTTCTAATTTTAGGTATCACTTAGTTAGGTATAAGAAATAAAGGACCTAGGAATGCCATGTTACAAAAATATTAATATAAGCATGAATATGACTAATTTTGATTGATTATTACAAAAATACTTTCATAGGATTAACATAAAGGATAACACTAATTTGTACCAATATTAAAATATTAGCTAGGTAGGTAGAGATAGCTAAACGAATCGGATTTTTTATTTTATTGTTAGGAAGCAAACGACCGAATGGATCACTATTAGGTGATCTTACCACTTACTATTAGGTAAGCATCGATCTTAAGCACTGCCTATGGACACCCATAACCATCAAAGAAGTAACAAGGGCGTTCCTGGCTTTTTAAGGGAAGGGACTGGGTCCGAATTCTAATTTCAGTTTGCATCTAAACATCATCGTCAAATATCACATCAAATTATACTAAGATATGATTAGTATCGATAGAAAAAACTTGGTGCTTGTCAACCAGGCACTAATAATTGTCAGTTTTCTTCACTATCGATAACTTTTTAACGAAATATCGACTCAGAGGAAGTTGATCGCGAAAATCTGTAGCTGGTTTACAGACTTATAGGTTCTAAAAGTATGTCAGTTCATAGTTCGTATCACAACACTAGTTTCTTATTTATTTATCTTAGTAAAACAAAATACACTTACCTTCACACACTACACGAACAACTGAATTTCAATATTTGTTGATTAAACCTCGCAAGGGTTTTGATATCTTATCACCGAATTATTATGGATATTATCAAATGAATGTCGATTAGAAAATACCTAAATAGGTATCTTAAATTGTAATATAGATATTGATAGTTTTGGTTTCATCATCGATTTATTGGATTTTGAACTCTAGTGATATTTTCGGAGTATAAACTAGGCGATAGGTTGAATTGCCTAATCGTAACTAATAACCGCTTGAATGCCCGTATATAAGACAAAATAGAAAATATGTTATGTCTCGCGTGGATCTTTGCACAACTTGATTCCCCCTAGTCCTTTCCATCATCGTACCACAAGACAATCGGCGAAGCGTCACCGATTCATGGTAGGTGTTCCGCCCACACGCACGAAGCGCTTCGCTTCAAGCTTCCTTGTGCGTACTGCTAAAGAGTGGAATTCTTTGCCAGAGTCTGTATTTCCTGAAGGGTATAACCTGGGTGTCTTTAAGGCTCGTGTGAATAGGTTGCTTATGGGTTGACGTGCTCCATCGTAGACCGCATCATCGCTTACCATCAGGCGAGATAGTGTTTAAGGTCGGACCATCATTTATACAAAAACTCAGGTTTAGACACACGATGGGATAATCGTCGATATTTATAGCAAACCATTTAATATTTTTGATATTAGGTACTTAGCATATGAAAATTGGCATATTTTTAAAGCAATCTTGTTCTTTCCCAGATAAAAATTATTATTAGTTTTATCACTATAGAAACCTGAAACTAACACTATAGTATTTATCTATTGCTTGTAATAATTAGTGCAACATGTCGACTGACTTCAACACGAGAGAATTAATTAAAATATTTAAGTGATAGTGTAATCCGGATTTTCTTCAAGATAATGATTACAAATAGTTATCAAGGCGTCAGCACGATAATATGAGGTAAAGGAATAATAATACACGTGATTTTATGAAGACAATATAATTAAATTTTCATACAAATCTTTAACGTAGTATTATCTTTAAAATACTGTACACTGTCGGCTAGTATTGTAAAAAATCATTTGCCATTTCGATTGAAAACAAATCGGCAAAGAAATATTCATAAAAACTTAGAACAATATAAAGTTGAAGGTACTCGCGTCCGATTGCAAATGATTGTCTCCAACTTCGCCGACTAATTCTTTTTATATTTTCATATTGATATGGCTGATTGTCGATATGAAAGACTTGTATAGAAGCAAAAAACGCTTACAAATACTAACTGAAAGAAATGCGCTAAAATTATTTTATATACACAACACGACCTAACGATATCTATATTGAATATTGCCGTCGGCATCAAACAATTCCATGTTTAAGTTTAGTAAACTATATTCCAGTCCGGAGCCATCGCGCTGGACTCGAATAACATTGAGTTAATCTCATTTCATTGAGTACATATTTAACATTAAAAATATAAAATCACAACAGGGCAGATCTTTTTCACTAATTATTGAACACGCCGTCGTATTGCAAATAGAAGACACCAAAGTTGTCATACGGTTCTTTAACAATTGTGGAAAAAGGATAATTTTGATCAAACAAATCATACATTACAGAGTATTGGACAGAGGAATCTACAATTGCAACAAAAATTAAGTTTCTCTTAAGTACTAAATATGTGACAACTTCACGGATAAGTTCCTGAACGACTATCGCCATATAAAAAAGAACCTTATTACTAATCACTTTACAATTTATCTAATATAACTCTATCAAATAAATACAAAAATCTCTTATTTTTATTATCTAAGATAATATTTTCCTACCTCATGTCTTGAAACTAAATACTATTTAATGCACATAAACTTAACACTGTGTAAAATTAAATGAGCGCACCATTGCACGCACGGGAGGACCCTAAATATATTTGACTAAAAGAGAGATCAAATCATTGCCACGTTACATAATCATGCAAGTATGTCGAGTACTGTGGACACTCATTTGTACTTTGAAATTGGAAGCAAAAGCGGCCATATTGCTTTGTATTAGTTTCTGGAAAATTAGAAGGATTTTTGGTGATATACTGTTGAAATGGAAATCGCTGGACAGAGAAGGGTCTGGAGGGTAAAGCTGCCTCGGAACGCGCGAAGAGTGACGTCCTTGTAGAGAAAATGTTCCTGATAGTCAGATATGTACATATTGTAGATACACGATCGTACAGGCCTAGTCGTTACATATGATACATTTACACATTCTTAGATCTGGCAGACCGTGTGAACACATGGACACTATCAACTTTACGTACATAACAATAGAATATGTACAATGTAGGTACAATACCATACCCTAAGTACCTAGTATTTAATGTGGCAAAGACTGCAATAGTAAGTCAAATCGGCAAAACGTACATAGAAACTAGATAAAATGCTATGTCTCAAAAAGACCTAAAAGTAACAAGGCAAAATGAAATAATAATTAAAGCATAATAAAATACTCGAAAGAAAACAATAGTTGCCAAATTTATTTGAAGACTTTCTATGCTACAGGACAGAAGTAAGTTGGACTGGTTTAGAAAGATAACTAAAAATAGCAACGGTAAATTGTACCATGAGCATTTAACTGAAAAGAATAGGTGTCGTAACTCTATATATATTCTTATTAAATCTATTATTTTCATGGTATACTACACTAAACTTTAACCTTTTCACTTTAACATTATCTTATTTTATTTTCTCTTCAATATTTTAACGCAGTGAAAAGACTAAATATGCTCAAGTAATTTATGTTAATGTAACATAATTATAGAGGCACTGTGTGTATTCAATCTATATAAATTTTATAATGATATTTTTACACGCGAAGTATACCGAACGATATTTTGTATTTTAAGAATTAGTTAAAATATTATTGTTACTCTCTTTATCTTAGAACCTTATAGACACATTTTAGAATTGAGAGTATTATGAAAACAAGAGGATAGAACCTACGTGATATAGACAGGGAGCCCATAGAGGTACTGATGACACCAATCGATCAGTTGCCGATTCAAGGGATCAGGACTACGATAGACAATATTTAAAATTGAGCTATGTATAATAAACACTCAGTTACAAAAATACTTGTAGCGTAATTTTCAGATCACATTTTGCTATTATAGGTTTTAATAACAAATATTTTTATTTTTGAATCTAAAGAGAAAGTACGAGCAGAGTGAAATTAGGACAGCACTCGTAGAGGGCCGCGAGGGGGCGCCACCGGGATGGCTGTCGCGGTTACATAGTCTATTATATTAGTAGTTACTGTACATATATACTTTTAACCGGCGCACGCACATTATGAACTCTAGTGGAAAGGTGATTCAATTCCATGGTTGAGGGTTAATGGTGTGTGTGCGCGTGCGCCGGGTGCGTGCGCGCTGTGGGGCCAGCGCAGTCTGCATTCGGCTTGCGTAAGGAATGGTTGTCTCGGAGAGCGCGCGGCGGGGCTGTGCGTTCAGTCTTTGACGAGCCTGTAGATGTGGTGCTGCGCGCCGTGCTCACTGTTCGACACTTCAAACACAAACGCTGCACATAATAATGTCTCTTGTGTATCTCGGTTTGACACCACCTGCGGAAGAAAAACGTAACTTTAAATACACTAGAAAGACTGCCTCATTGGCCGAATGGTCGCAATTGCGACTGCCGGGCAAGGGGTCTCGGACAAACTATTTTTTATTTATAATGTTTTATTTATTGTATACATTTAAGGAGCTTAAAAACAAACAATTCAAGTAAATATGCGTACAATGGGCGGTCTTATCATACAAAGGTAATTTCTTTCAGATATAAGTGTACAATATATAATAAATTGAGCTTTAAAAAAATTCTCAATCGTAGCACGGAGTCTGGGATTGTTCGTGGTATATGGCAATAAGTTCACCCCCTATTACATGGAACTCATAACATAAATAGTGAATAGTGGGTGTTACGTTATACAGCGGCATTGAATGCTGTATGTGCACCTCTGCCTACCCCTTAGGGGATTAAAGGCGTGATGTTATGTTATGTATCCTATGTTAAACAACTTTGATAACCAGCAGCTGTAGCCAAATGCCATTTAGCGCTTGTATACTTGTAGAGTAGAAAACTAAATTATATGGAATTGACGTAAATTTTGTCACTTGTCGGTGTCATCCCCATACATTTAGTTTTCTACTCTCTCTGTAGACAAGCGCTAAAGTGGCGTTTGGCTAAAGGCACAGATCTCACTAAACGATAGGGTCAAATGACTTCTATAGTCAGATTTATAGTTATTCACTGTATTCTAAAATATAACAGCGTGAGTAAATACCACCATATTTCATAGTATTTTCTTTCCACATTAAAAGTCTAATTAACAACAACAATCACTTAATGGGAACTTTCTTTTCGCTTTCCAACAATTAAACGACCGATAACTCTATTAAATTTATGTACCAGTAACAAACATGGAAATGTTCTTACCGCTGATAAAAAACCATTCACAATATAGAGAAAGACACATATATCAGTCTGATAGATGAAGTCATAAAATAAAAACTACTATGTTTCCTTGGCCTACACTCGGGACCAAAAAAACGGAACCACGAACGTTTTTTCTTTTTCATTTCTTTATAAATATTTGCTAATACAAGTATTTTTATTTTATTAATTGGTAACGTGTCATATAAAACGCTATAATTACTTTTAAAATGAGTGCAGTTTTTTGTAAAGGGAATATTTTTTTTAATTGGCTACTTGCCTTTATCAAAAATAAATAATTTCGACTGTTCAATACAACGAAATATTATTATAATTGCATTAATTGGTTTGATGACCGACTTAATTTTAGTATTGATCCAGTAATTTTTTAAAAATTAGTATGACGTTTGACTCTTAAAAACGTAACGTCACAATACACAATCTCGTACAAAATTCATAGAAAACAGTTCGAAAAAAGTATTGAATTTGACTAGTTGGCAAGTACCCAATTATAAAGGATTCAATAGAACAAAAATAAATACGTTAGTGGCTCAATTTCTTGGCGCTTCTTTTTTTTTTCTTTTTTTTTTAAAACGTTGCCCTACTACTAAAATACTACTAAAATACTACTTAATTATGCTGGTTGCGTACTATGCCCCACATGCTCGTGACGGATATCGCAACACATAGCTACCATGTATGTAAGTATAACTATAATTCAATGTAAACAATGCCCATTAAATGCAGTCACTGGTTTAATTACTGTCTAGAAAAAGTGTTGGAGTTTCAAGATAGTTAGAAATTAACTATAGCACTAAGTCTAGAGGTATAATATCATCGTTAGACACTTGGGACTTTAATTAAAATATACGACTTTCTTACATGAACTATTCGAGAAAAGCTCTATTAGTTTCGAACCACACCGGGATCCATATTTTTTCCTTAGATTTTCACTAATATAGTTACACTTTTGACTTATATGTATTATCTACGAAAAAATACACCCTGTGCCAGTCTTTCGACCCTTGTTGCTACAATTCTTTATTTTTACGTCTGTATTTTTGCTTACAGTGTTTTAATATTATTGAATCATAAATTCTGAGCAAAGTGCTTTAGTTTGGAAAAGAATGTCGTTTTTTTAATATTTTTCTGATAACTGGAACCTTGCCTTGTCTGCCCATATTAAATATAAAATAATATATAGATAAAAGTTTATAAAAAAACTAACCTGCAGTATAGTGAAGTTTTCTAAAACGCTGTTCATCATATACTTCTCAGGTAGATGTTTCAGTTTGTGTATGAAGTTGACCATGTACTCGCACATGGGCGACCGATGTATGCGGTACACGAAGCGGCCGCCTTCAAAGCGCGCGTACTCCGTCTCCACCTTCTCAACGACTTGCTTGCCGAACGAACACACCTTCGTACTACACGTTATAGTCATGTTTTCGTTGCTTTCATACCTGTAAAGATTGAAAATATTAATTAAGTACGTCTCACTATAATTGTTATATAAAGACCTTCGAGGCTCGAGTGATGGGTTGGTTGTAGACCGCGTCATCGCTTACCACGAGGTAGTTGTCAAACGACAGCCCATCAAATATAAAAATAGAAAGATTAAAATAGTGTGCAAATATAAATATATAAGACAAGAGACTAAGAAGGTAAGATCTGTCTGTTTCGATGTCTCTTCTTTAAGTAGTCTATTAGGAAATTGCTATGCATATCCTCATATAGACCTTAATTTCAAAATAATAACATAGAAGTGTACTCTTGTAATTTGTTTGCAGTATTAAATATCCAATATCTATCTAATAATAATCTAATAACTAAGACCTACGTCTTGATCTGTAACTTATTAGTTCTTTTTCTGTGTGGATAGGTACTTAGACAATTTATCTAATGTTATAAGGAAGCTATAGGTACCTATAAATCCCATACATTTATTATAACGGTACCATTGACGTAAGACATTGAATTTCCTTGTACCGATCACGTTGTATATAGCTACACACGTCACAGTTGTAAAAATAATATGATTTGGCATAGATTAGGTCCAAATCGATTTCGACGCTACATTACGTATTGTAAGTATATGTATATGCAAAAATAGTTTATAAAAATATTTTATTACTACGTAACGGTAAGAAAGATGGCCGCAATTTTTTAGGTACCTAATACAAAACAATTGAGGAAACTATTTTGGTAAAGTTTCCTTTAACGTATTATGTAGTAGGTATAAGTATTAGTTTAGCAGTACATATTATATAGTATGTATGTCTATTTAGATTTATAATATATCATATTGTTACATTTATTGTATGGGTTTTTTATGTATGTAGTATGCATATCTATATATATAAAAGAAAGTCGTGTTAGTTACACTATTTATAACTCAAGAACGGCTACATCGATTTGGATGACAATTGGTGCGGAGGTAGATTAGAACCAGGAGACGGACATGGGATACTTTTTGTCCAATATTTATTTTTTATTATTTACCGAGAATCACGAACGGCAACGAGAAAAAACGGGATTGCACGTACCAAGTCGCGGGCAGAAGCTAGTTATTTAATATTAATTATTTCTTTTTTTATTGTGTTCTGGCTTCGCATCAACCGCTTCATTTCTCTGCACTTCCCTATGATTGACTGTAAGAGAATGCCTTAAGGCATTAAGTCCGCCATTCATTGTTATCTTTGGTGAAGAAGAAATAATAATAAATAAATAAATAAAATAATATTGTAGTAGATCGTATACCTAAGTTGTAGTTAGCAGTGTAAAGCCACGCGAATGAATCATTTAAAACTAACTAACACAATGAGTCATAATTATATAAGAAATAAATAATATCAGCTTCACAAAATGTATTAATAATATTCAAATTGAATATGTATGTATGTACCTACGTTTGTCATATTTGTCATATGTATAGGTAAATTTCGATAAAAACATGGCTATAAAAGGTACAACATTGCTTACCTATATATCAGTAACTAATTTACCATTTCAGATTCCAATACTAGAATTATTTAATTCTACACTCCACATTATAAAACTGATGAAATTGTTTGTACGCGACATTCTCCGAAACTACTGATTCGAATTCAATAATTCTTTTCGTGTTGGATAGTCCATTTATCGAGAAAGGCTATAGGTTATAAAACATCACGCTACAATTAATAGGAGCCGAGTAGCGGTTGAATTTAGAAGTAGCGAACTACATAGATACTTACACACTAGTGACCCCGTAAAAGGCTCCAGGATCGTCCAGGTTATTTGTGTTCAAGTCTGCCCAGAATTTGACGAGGAAGAACGCATTCCGTGGACCTTTCTCATATAACTCTTTGAGGCCTCCTTTCTTCTCTGGGAACTTATCATTAATCTGTTGTACGTCCACTGACTGGAAGAAGAAGAAAAAAGAATTAGATAATGTATTTAATAAAAATTAATTTCCATTGGTTAGTCTTGCTAAAACTCGCGAACAACTAAACCGATTTGGCTGATTTTGGTCTTGAAATGTGTAAGGTTTAAAAGGTAAGAAAAGAAATTATTAGGCGATGTAAACTTTGCCGGGTCAGCTTGCTGCGGATAACTTTAAATATCGCTAGGTATTAAAAATTGGAAGCAACCACTAAATTACTTTAATTTATGAGTTTATCGATTGCCATACGGAACATGTATAATAAATATTGTTCTTAAACACATTATAATTATCGCTAGTGCCGTGGTTACGTTCATTAACAGCTAACATCACACAAATAGTTGTTCCATTGCCCAATCGAGACACATTTTGCAGCATTCGGGACCCACTTCGCTGTCATCATTGTTCTATAGCATAATAATGTCGACCTTATTTGATAAACCACAATATCTGAAATAGCTTTCTACGTACTATCCGTAGAAACAGTTATAGAATTTTTATCTCACAGGAAATGTTTAAAAATGTTTTTTCTAGTTCCAAGAACAAAATATTTACCTCTAATAAAGGATCTGCGTACGTAACGGTGCCACCTATATGCACGAATAGATGTTGCGCCGGCGCCGAACTTGGGTACTGAAAAAAAAAACAATAGGTTTACAATCAAAAGATGTCTGATGTATTGTTTGACGTTCAAAAGTGCCAGGTTTTGACTTTGTTTGAGATAAAAGTAACAGTAATGTAAGTACTGTAGCTAAGAGAATATGACTTCGATAATGATAGTCATTTACTAGGGGTTCTAAGTAATTGGGTGATTTCATGTTGTAGTTCTATAGTTTCTATTCGTGTTATCAAAAGCCTTTTGGTCTCCTGATAAAAATTAAGGAAAGTAAATAGAAATTATGTTTTTTCTCCTTCTTCAATGATATTATTAACTTTAAGTTTTTTTTTTATTACGGGATTCTAGACTTTTAATTTTATTTATCTTTTTTTTTTTCTTCTTTGGCAACTGTTATTTATCTTGAATTTTATTTATTTTTATTTACTGAATTTTATTTATTTTTATTTAACTTTTCTGGTTAGTTTCTCTAGTTGTTACTAGCTTATAGGAATTTTATAAGTTACATAAGAATATCTACCCCATATAATGATAAAAATTCTACTCTATTCCCATACAAAACAAAATTAAAGACACATTGCTCTACAACAAACGTGTCTCGGTACCTAAATAATCACAATAAAAATCTTGACATAATTTTATTCAACTAAACGATTACCCTACTTAGTTTTTTTACAATATAAATTCAACTACCTATTATTTATTTAAACATAAAGTTGTAATGTCAGTCAAAGCGAGACAGTTAAATTTATTATTTCATGATATCAAAAGTTCAAGGTGCGTTACTTTCAATTTATTAGTGAACGCTGACGGTCCTTTGGTCGTATTGTGTTATGTACCTATTTATTAATGCTTTAGACATTTATTTAATGTTTTAAAAGGTACAAGGTAAAGTAAACCGAAAGGCAAATATAGTGAAATTAATTTAACGTAATTATTGTCCTTGAGTGAGGGGTTTTTCGCTGGTAAAAGGCAAGAAAACGTCAGAGGAAATTTTGTAAATCATAGCTTAAGAAATGCGTATTAAATATCATCCTGTATTGCTATACTACCTCTATATTATACTGTGATGGTATTGTGATTTAAACTATTGGGTTTAGTCTCGTATACGTTGCATTGGAAGGTATTTGACTACACTCAAGTTATTTTATGAGCCCCGTTTCGCCTCGAAACTAGTCGAGTATTACTCGAACAGATTGTGTCCCTCAGGACAGTTTCTAAACAAAAATATATTTAGATAATATTGCCTATTCTATATCATCAAGGTTTTACCGTTTCTGGATCCCGTGGGTGTTCAACGAAGGCAGAAAACTCTACAAGTCGTAGTTTATGCGTGGCGATCGCGCGGCCCTCCCACGGCGGTGGCGGCGCGACGTCTGTCCCACTTGGTACTCCCACTCCTCCTACTCCTGGGACGCCCTTGTAACCAGCACCAGGGAACGGTTTTACGCTGGAACAAAGTGATGATGTCTTTGAGTCAGTAGTTCTCATAAGGATAAATCAAGTAGGTAGTAGTCCTCCCCTTTCTACATTATCTTATGTCGTGTTCACAGACATAAATCTTTTGTAAGTTGTGTATGGTAGGACCAAGAAAATATCTGTTGACATTTTCATATCAGAACTGCTAAGCATTTAATTTGCTTTGTATATTATCCACATTTGTTATGTTGGTTAGCCAGTTTAAAACTTTCTTACTTGATTACGTGTACTGAAAACTATTAAACGCAAGTTAATGTTTTGATAAGTTTTGAAAGACTCTAGTCCGTTTTGTAAGATCATAATTATGGTAGGAGTAGTAGGACTAAAATACAGATATTATGATTCAAGAACTTGTTAATTTTATGAACGTCAATATCTCGATTATCTTGTCACCAGATCATAAGGTAACGAGGTTCATTCCTTTAAGTAAAGGTAGCGAATTCATTTAGTAACATAAAGTAAATGTAGTTTTTGTAGTACAATTAACTTGTAACAATACTTAACGTTTCACAGAAATACGATCAAAAACGTATTATTAAAGAATATATTCCTTGACATTAAAATACTTACTCTTGTGAAGGTCCGGCTTGTAGACCCGGTTGCCAAAATTGCTGTAATGATAAAACAAATAATTAATAACTTCGTTATTATATCAAAAATGACAATAAGCTTTCATGTTATTTTATGCTCAAGTTGTTATTCTACACACATCACTTGAAGCATTATTTTGATTTGTGAAAACATGAAGATATGAATGTTTTATTCCAATGTAGTGCACGCCCTGACAGTGACTAACTATTTGAATTAAAAATGATCCTTTACAACGATATTATTGAGTCCAATTTTCAATACAATTTTAGTCGATTCCATTTACCAGTCGATTATTTGTAATATGAAGAGAAAAACAAAAATGTGAGTAAAGCAATTTCAGTATTCGATTGGTGTTATTGTCGCCTATTCTTTACTTAATACGTGCAATTTGGCAACATGCCTAAATAGTAGTGAAGCAACACAATTTAAAAGGCGAATTAGTTTTTATTTTTTTACTAGTAACACAAAGGCATGCCTTTTGCAAGTTGAGTACCGTATGGTGGTACGCTGGGTGCGGTAAACCAGCTACGATCTGTGCGCTAGATAGTGTGCTCATTGACTGCATGGCCTTTTCTTTCATCACCCCACCATCCTAAACGTCATTCATATCTATATTTTATTACACTGTATTTAGCTTCCTTATGTTTTGGCACGAACTTCTTAATTTTATCTTCGAATTATTTTAAAAGATGTAGTACAACAATGCTAATTGATACTGGTTGTTGGGACATAAATACTGACATATTTTAATACACTTACCACTTTCAGTTTGGCCTGTATTTCTCGAAGTTTCCGCCTAGCTAGCACCTGTATGTGGGATGACACTTGTTTTCTCGTGCGCGTTTTTCCTGTCCTCAATTTTATATACCTTGCTATCAGCTCGTTTCTTCCTGTAATTGAATTAAAATCTTGATTAGTTGATAGGTTTATAATTACAGATAAGTGATGTTCAATTATATGCTCCTAGTCCCAGTATCAGGTTTGTATCTGGCTTTATGGGCTACCTATGACAGATACGAGCATGTTCGAATCCGTGCTAATAGAGTCACTACCGATTCTTAACAAGGTATATTGCCTGTCCTCAAAAGCGTGGGAATGGTTTATAAGTTCAAGTCTTTAATTCAAGCACACTAGAAAACATGAAATCTTTAATATCACATAGGTTCTGGTTTGTCCATCCCTATGATAGACTACTTAAACTCTGTCTCAATTTCCAAACCATCTGAGATTTCCATATAAACAGATTTCAATCGTTCAAACTTTATACCAACCTAGGACCATCAAATAACCTTTTCTCAAAATCAAAAACCCTAAACTGAAACAACAAACGAATTCTTTCAACCAGTTACGGCGTGATGGACTTGCGAATATCCAAACTTCGGCTTTTATAATAATAACAGTGTTCAGTTGGGTATTTCAATTTAAGTAATAAAGGGGTTAAAACATGTGCCAATTGGCCGCGGAATATTTAGCATAGCTGTAACAGACAAACGCGTAGAATGCAATGCAGGCAGCACTGCCGATCCTGTTATGAAACAATTTTCAAAATATTTTGAATAGCTATTTTCAATCATTGAAACTGCAGTTGAACAGGAATGCGGGGTGGATCGTCCGTAGTCAGTGCAAACTGGTATTGTGAAATAATTTTCAGTTGGTTTACATTGAATATTGTTGTCGAGAAATATTTTAAATATTCTTTTTGTTTTTATACAAAATGGTTAGTGTTTCTTTTTATGTATATTGCAACCTTTATTTAAATTGTTGTTCTAGTAATGAAGTAGTACTTAATTTTACGAATTAGAAAAATGTTTTGATTAAAATCTCTTCTAAATAGAGTTAAGGTAGAACAACGGGTCTTATGAGTACCTCATTTGTTTACGTTTACATCCCAATAACAACTTTTAACTTCTTGACTCACGAGCTAGTCGCTAGCCGTCGCGAAAGGCATAGGTACATTTTATTACTTTAACAGTAAACAGAATTAGCAGAAAAACAAACGTGTAATAGCTTTTGCAAAACACGTATTTAATTACGGGTTAACTTTAGATTGTAACTTAAGTCATAAAAGCTAGAAAGGCAAATGTCTACTCATAAAATGAACGATCAAACTCAATTAAAGCCAGACATAACTTGGTGACGAAATTTTAATATATATCGTGTATTAATTGATGGACACGATAGAGGAAGACCCGGTCAGAGCAAAGTAAATTGAAATCTCATTGAATTCGGGGAATGCGATGGCGACGAGAGGCGGCTGGTGCGAATTTAATTAACCCCTTGCTTGCTCGTTGAGGCGAATGTGTACGTATAACGTATATACGACTACGTACTACACTATTTGTATCTATTGATTAACAGTACTATTCGGTCCGTCAATCGGCATACAAAAGACCGGCAAAAGCGTTTTAGTGCAATTGAAAATGCTTTCTACAATTGTAAAACACATTAAATTCAGTTCCATGTCAGTTCTATGACAGAATTATGTCTTAATAAAAACGGTATATTATTACCTACGTCTATTACTACCAATAACAACCTCCATAATAATATTCTGCATTGCGCTTTAAATATCACGCTAGAACTCGGCCCCCGCTACAAGATTAACGCAATATCAGTTATTTTTATATTAAACTAGAATGAAAACTCAGATCTTTGGAAGGAAACTCTTCAAGACTGTTAAGTCAAACATTCTTGAAATTACTTCGAAATTATGGCACCGTCGTAAACTTTTCACGGCGGGTGTTAAGCTAAAATTAGTAAGTGCGGCCACTCTAACAAATTGCTGTTAGCACGAATTAGTAAAGTGAATATACACGTCGTATGTTATTCGTTGTGAGCGTAACTTCCAGTTGTGACATACGCGCCCGCGAATTGAGCATTAAGAGTGCTTTCACCCGAAACGTCGTGTGCATCCTTCTATAAATAGTGCGGTGCAGAGAAGGATCAAGTCGAAACGTTTCTATTCCACAGTGAATAGAAAAACAAGAGATCATTATTTATTAGTTCGTTAGTTGGCTAATTTGGTCCATTGCCAGCGCGACGCGGCTACGCTCTCGCGCACTCCGCGAGGAAATTGTGCGTGCACGCTCCAGCTACATTATGAATATTTACTATTTTCTTTTTGAACAGGTATTTGTTGTTACCATCGCACATTCGTTCTCATTGCTTTGTTTATACACAAGTTTCACAATTATTCGGAATAGGTTTACCAAATTAAACGTGGATTAAGTATTATTTTATTATTCTCGAACCTCTACTCACAGCGGAGCGTTTTGAAAAGTAATTTATTCGACAACTGGGGAGATATTGGAGATCCATCAGAAATACATTAACGTCGTACCTGAGGCATGACTTCGCGATTGTTTTTGCTTATATTGAGCTTTTGCCCACAAAATATATCTCCCTCAATAATATTAGTCGGAGATCTACTCACTGAATACCTATTGGTGCTTAAAATAGAATAAACAACAAATTAATGTTCGTATTATTTGTTGCTGATCAAAAAGCAGTTTTAATGTACGAGTACGGAGTAGGTATAATTAATAAGCGTTCAAAACTATATTTGCCAATTATCCACACCATAATAACCAGTATTAAATTTATGTAATAGGCCTACAATTTTACTTCAAAACGGAATATTTTAGGCCCATTTGGAGTGTGATTTAAACTAATTATAAACCACTACCCTACCTTAGTAGATATTATCTAAGAAAATAATTAGGGTGCCGGGAACGTGTTAATAGGAAACAGAGTACCTATATTATAATGATTTGAAAACAAGGTGGAGCAATACATGTAAGTAACAAGGGCAGTTCGTCAAAAATGAGGACCCTTGAATGACAAAGGTTCTGCGAAAGATATTGGACTTTGTCGAGTTACACGGGCGTCGTAGCAGAATTTCACGCTGACCCAAACAGGAGCTATGCGGAGCAAATCCTCGCGGAAAGGGTTGAGTTGCGACAGGTCTAAGGAGGATTTCTTGGGAGACAATCGGGAGTTATGCCCGAAGCGGGCGGGGCGCTAAACAACGGGCGCGGGCGGCCCGCCCCTTCTTTATATTTTCTTACTGCGTTCGCCGCCTAGCGGCGCGGCCGGGCCCCTTACACGCTCGCTCGCTCACTAATTGCGCATTCTTCGCATAGTTTAGCCCTCCCGACGAACCCCTCGCCTGCCACCCCCGGACCACGTGAAGCCGTGCGCCGACGAAACTTTCATACTCCCAGGATATTGAGCGGTTTTGAATGTCTTAACTCACGAACGTGCCGCCAGCAAAGCTGAACACTAGCTTTGTTGGCAAACTGTTCCAAACTACAGTCTTCAAGACTGCCGAGTGCGCCGATCTAAGCCGTCCCACACGTGCAACTATGACATGCCGAACTCAATTCACTAATGTAATAACGGATCCTGATAGTTCACTACTGCCGAGGGCTCAACGCTTCAAGGATAACTAATCATTTCATAAACATTAAGAACTGGGTACGACGATGGATAGCTCACAACATAACTTTTACGACACTTGACTTCGCTTGTCAACTTTTAGATAAAGTTACTTGCGGTTTGTTTTCCTACTCCTACCTACTTGTACGACTTTTATTTGGTTACGGAAGAATAAGTAAAAACTTCAGTAAAAATAAAACACTACAGACCTAAAAAAATAGATATCATGTTTACTTATACAATATGATTGTTATGTTAATTTAGTTTCAATAGAAACTTTGAAAAGATCAGAGTTAAGTTAAAAAAAACCCATTACAGTTTTAATAAACACACAATAATATGTCCCTCAGAGAATGTCGGATTATTGCAGCACATGACGATCAAGCAAAACAGTGTCCCATAGAACGTCACGGTAAGGGAGAGGGTGGGACGACGGTACGACGGACAAGGGTGACGCACTTTTACGTAGATTAAGCGGGAGGACACGTCCTCGAGTAATGTGGTCATATATTGTCCGGGCGACGCGACGCGTGTCCGCAATTATTATCCACACAGATAACCATTACCAACATCTTTTGCACGAGTAATAACACTTAGACATACTTGTTTACAAATAGAGACTCCATATCTCTAGTGGGAGAATACATTTCAGGACTTTTTATTTTGTAGTACTTTCATTGTTGACTATGTGGTGACATTTATTACTGAGCAGGAATTATTGTGACACAAAAATTATGAACCTGAATTCCTACATCAAAGTCTTAGAAAAGACAAAACGACAAAAGTAGATGTAGGGCATGGCATTTCCCCTAATCTCCCCTTCCGCAGTGTGAACCGTAAGATTTGAAGTAATTTAAACATCGCATTTCTTTACGCCTATTAAATCACTTAAGGTGGACACATCGCCTGTGGTAAATTTGTTTAGCAATTCCATTTGGCACCGCGACGAGGCTGAGCGGGCAGTCCTTTAATTAAAACCGGGACGTATAATGTTGGGCGCTTGACGCAAACTTAATGTGCGTCCGGCGGCGATGTAATGGCACTACCACCCTCTGATAATTGTCCTATGTCAATTCTGCTCCATAGCATCCGTAATATTACTTTTCCGAAAAGATTATGGAACTATTCTCCCCGGGTTAAGCATGTAGGGCTTACAAATAACAGACTTTGTAAATTATTTTATTCAAGCCATTACTTCTTCATAGTATTTAAGTCCAACCGGACACTACAAAGGCTCGCAGAAGAAGACTTTACGCCTAACTATAAAATACTAAAGCAACACAAACCGTTTCCTTCGGCAGTTAATTTACTGGAGGCAAAGCGTTGTTTTTATGTAGCAATCGTCACGTTCGCGTTAACGAGCTTTCTAAGTTAACAATGTAACGTGAAAAAATTTGCTCCCGCCTCCCTTTCATGAACAGAGCTTTCATTTTAATAATCGGGGCTTATTGAGAACAAATTGGGGGTTAATTTGGAAATATTTTTGTGGCGATAATAAATGGGGCATAGCTTTCATAGTTCACTAATTACCGTTCGTGTACGCAAGTATTTATACACGTGAATTCTGAACAAAGCCACGAGACAACACATGGGTTCTTCGAATTGGCGACATGGTCCGATCGAGAGAGATAATAATTGTCGGTTCACGTCTTTCCGCGGAATCCTATTGCGCAAACGGCTTTTGTCGGCCGACTTCAATAGGTCCTACACTGGCTTTTGTCTCGTGCTACTGCCATTGTTCATTTTCGGCACAGTGGCCTTGATATCTCTCCATTATTTAACTTAAGTGACATATAGGTAAATCGATGTGTTCGCGTCCGTTATTAAACAAAATAATCGATATGTTTGGTCTAATATTTAAGTCAAGCTGAACTCAGTTGTAAGTAAGCAGTTGTTTGTAAACTTGTATTAAATAAAAGTGATTATATTTGTTTATCCAATCGAATGATAATAAAAACGAATGTTTACGCTAGTGCCTACAAAGACTTCTAGCATGTTTGGACTCACCGTACATCTTGCCCTCGTCGGAGAGAATAATTTTGCGCCTGCCGCACGGCGGGTAGATGGCCAGGGCCTCTTGGAAGCTCTGCTCAATGTCTGGACTCCATACTCCCTCCGCATCGGCCGCGGACATATCCTGCGAACGCGCTTTGTTATATAAACACTACTTATTTAATATCGAAACAATATAGAATCGATATAAATTTTCCCACTCTAGGTAAATTTGACGTCAAAGCTAACACCTTACCCAGGACACGAATGTTTTGAAAACGTTACCTTGGCAAAAGAAAACATAAGCCTATAGAAAAAACATGCTTTCTTTCTGTATACTAAAGGACTGATAAATAGAAAAGTTTAAAATAAAGACGCCAATAGGAAAATTACGTCATATCTACAAAGTTAGAGAACAATCCCGTTCCGCGAAAACCCCAATGTTCTAAATGGAGCTGTTCCCAGCAAATTCACGCGCTCTAAAAGTTAGTAAGTGCAACTTCAGCTTTAGTGCGAAATAATTATGAATATTGTGAACCATACGCGTCTCCCATACGTATGGGATTTGTGAGACACTTTGTACTTCCAGATATTTGTAATTATTTATAGCGGTAGACGGTTTTGTCACTTTCAATTCATGCCAACAAAACAGTAGCGTCAGATATCGTGTTCCCTATTTCCTAAAGACACTTAGTAGCTTTAACTGTATCGAAAGCTTGTTACGCCCCAATGAATCGAATCTTACGATACCATCATTAATCTTAAGAACTAAATACGTTTCGAAGATAAATCGTTTCTATGTTAGCCTAGTCCACTTCCAGAGAAAACGAAATTAATTCAAGAAGCCTTATTACATTGAAACTAAGTAGGAACACTGAACAGATGTACTTATTATTAACATTTGTAAAGAGTTTGCTTACAGACTGTTACAAGTCGTGGAGTGCGTCATTGTAATTAATAGACTAGCTTCTATTCTCAAAAGAAAATAAAAATAACGCGTTGCCCTCGACTTGGTCCAACAGGCCGGATCGAAAACATCGTGAATCACTGTTCTTTGAAACTACTTGAAACGTAGCTGTTTCGGGATTTGTTAACTACTAACAGTCAATATTTACTTGCAATTTCTCACAACCGCGTCTTACTAATTGTTTTTGTTACAGGTTTAAATTTATTTCGTTATCAATCAGCCGTGTGATCTTTATATCTATTAGTGATTTGTTGGATGTGATTGATAGTTAAATAAATATCACTGATAATGTTGCGAACGCAGAAAAACCGGTTGAATTCACAGGAAACTTTTTTAGATTTAACATTTCTTGGCCTATCTCACGCGGATGAGTCAGGCGAAATGTTTGGCTATAATGAAATCTTGAATGAATCTGCGAACACGATATGCACTTTGTATATCAGTTTACACGTTATGATAATGGGTAGTAAAGTTACCCTTATGCGACCTGCAATCGTAAATGCGTGTGACTGAACTATGCTGCACACTTTCCGTGCTGCGCAAATTGCAACCGTGTGCACTTATGTTTACACAAACATGCACGCTTAAGTACCCTCTTCTAATCCGGAGTCCACGATTACTTCTACAAACAAAGCTCCTACCTCATGACTTACAAAAGTGAACTAAGATTTACTAATAACCGAGCAGTAAATCGGCAGTATGTGAGTTCACTGCTTGGTTTATGGAGAGACTGGCAATAGTACGTTTATGGAACAAAGAAGAAAATGAATAATTAAGCTGATATAACAACAAATAGAACTAAATAACTAAATATCTACAAACAGAACTTAGTTTTGTAGATTAGTTTCAGAAATGAAGTCATCTCGCTGCTAAAATGTTGCAGTCTGGCCATACAGAGCTGAAGAGACTCGTGGGAACCCTTCGTAAGGTGAAGATCGGTGTAAATATGAGCTAATATTTACGAGCCGTTAAAATTGACACGTGTTCCACGCCTCGGTTGGCGAGTGACCAGCAATGATCATTAAATTAATGGGTAACTTACTGAAGCAGTTTACACTTCACCACGTGGTAGTATCCCGAAAATGGAATAAGTAATAAAACTTTAGCGGGAGTCAGTAATAGATTAGCTATAAAGTTTATGCTGGTTACTGCGAATGGTCTCGTTCAAACGTAACAGATTGAGCCGTTGGAAATGGACATTACAATTCAGTCACACTTATTATGTTTAAACAGATCAAATACTAGATAGTTTATCAATTTATGTTGTCAAGGTAAACTTCAGGAGCAGGTGATAAAAATACTGAGGATCTACCATGGGAGACCACGTGGCTACATGAGAGAAACTTCCTATTTTTGATCGTTGCTTATGAGGAAGATAACTCCTGGAGCTTACTTGGACCTTGAGTTTAAACAGCGAATTAACTCTCTATTTTGTTGAGTATGTGACATATTTACCTTTTCATCGTCGCTGGCATCGCCGACGTCCAGGTGCTTAGCGTCGGCGCCGCCCGAGCCATTGGTGTCGGGCGCGCCGGCCGCCGTGCTCCAGGGGGACGCAATGGTGCCGGCTGCGAGCGCGCCGCTCGCTGAAACATCAGAAAAAAGCAAAGGTTAATCAGATTAAAATTTTCAAACCGAACTTATTACATACTTGAGAAAAGTCTACGATTGATGGAGGTCATACCTACTCGAAAATTAAATAGTAAAAGTCACTGTAAGAAGCAGCGAAGTAAAAAAGAAAAATCATCTTATTACGTCATATATTATTTAGTTTACAGGGTACCACGAAGATTTTATATCATCATTGGTAAGATAGCTCTCAATATTCTACCTTCAGTATGGCTAATCTCTGAAAGGAATTCATAAAAAGCATTTATTTGCCGTAATAATGAAAAGTTTTCGACGTATGATTACGTAACGATCAGTATCGTGCTGTAATTCTGGTGTGTAGATAATATAATGTGTGTGACCGTGAATTGTATGACGCATCATAAACGTGGATACGCAAGAAAGGTAACATATATGTTTGTAGGTCTGATTGAAATTGATTATCCTTTTTACATTGACTCCATTGCCTTTCATCTTTATGGTTGAAAAACACTTATATGTACTTATTCAGTGAAAAACAATAAAATTATTCTCAATTAATTGTCATAAGAAATTATTTTCCAATAGTGAAAATGAAAGGAAATGTACTACCTAATGGTAATCGAAAAATCTCGAACTAGGTTACATGTAGTTTATCAACGTATTGTACCTAATAGTCAATCTATTGTTTTAGTTGAGAAATGAGAAACGAGACGATGATATATTTTAGGATCTGTTCAAGGAGTGTAAACAAAGAAGTATGTATTTTTAAACTTTATGAAAATCATATTGAGTAGTAATGAATGGATATGTCTAGTGGCAGTAGCCGCGGCCGCGAGTCTCGAGTCGAGTGCGTCTGACGTCAGAGCGCTTGTTTGTTTACCGTGTCGGATGCTCGTCTTGTAAACTTCCAATCGTATTGTGGCCGATACGATAATACACCGAGCAAAGCCGCGGTTACTTCGTTACTATTTTTAAGGCATTACAAACAAAAAGCTTTTGCGAATTGACGTCAAGTTATTAGGACTGATGTCTCATCTAGCATTAGGAGCAGTTTATACATTTGATGTACCAATATTTCAAACTGATTTCTCCACATTAATCTAACCAACATTTAAATGTCGACTCATTTACATTAATTAATAATGCAGCGAATAGCGACATTGTTTTACGCCAAAATGAACGAGCAATTTCTAAACATTTATGTAACCTACGTTAAGTTAAAATAAAACTGGCAAATGAAGCCGAGGAATACACAGTTCAAATTTTCATAATACCAAATAAAATCTTTGTTCCCTCAAGATCGGGAGGCGAGCTCGTAGGCATTCCGGAAATTTTCATATTTACTGTTACAAATATGCAGGTACGAAACATTTACAATATAAATATAATATCAAAACGGAGAATTTCTTTATGAAGATCGGATCGGGAGTCGAGAGAGTAAAGTATGCGCCCGCCTGCCTTCGCGACGAGCTGTCCTCCTCGTTACTTTATAAATCCTATCTTTAGGTACCTACCTACCTACATTCCGGATACTATATTTCCATCGAAAAATTTATAATGTCAACATTTTATTTCCCTTGCGTTATCGATCACTTCTCAAGAACATAACAACTAGGTCGATGGGTTTAATTAATTTATGCTTGTAAGCTGTCATTTCCCAATAATAATGACATCGGTACAAAGGCAAAAACTTGCAACTTAGTATATTGTAATGTCAATACGCCCCACATTGACGCAACAAATTCGCATTGTCTCCGTCGCATGCTTACATATTGAGAAATCGTCTTTATAAATGAGAAATTGACCTCTTTATGATCCAGAACTACTGAGAGCAATTTTGATCAATCGTATATAAAGAGCTTATTTGTACACAAACGGCATGATGACTAACGAGTAGGTAGATATTTATTTTTTATCTTTATCACTATATTACGGGTATATTTCCGTAGTCGAGCGAACAGTATCTATTTTAAATGTAGTCCTACTTACCTAAGTAGAGAGACAACTCGACTAGTTGTATCAAGGATCTTCAATTAGGGCAATTATTATTCAGCAGTGACTAATTCAAGCAGCGCTCGCGGTTGGCTGACAAAGGGCGCATCGTGGACGTGCAATAATTAAAATAATAAAGCATGGTTGTTCATTGTGCTGATATGACAAGTGCTCGCAATAAGTGGGACCCTCGCTACGCCGCGCTGGGGTCGGCTCTTGATCACATTTAAACGGGACCTATTTATTTCATGCATGCGATTTATACTCTTGTGCAATATTAGCACTGTTTGTGATTTTATTTATATGAACTCAAAGTATTCTTCATTGTTATGACATGAATGCGGGAGCTAATAATAAATATATCTCTATTGTACAAATAGAAAAGTATCTGTGTGAATAAATAGTTAATGGATTTGCATAGAGACGAAAACAGTAAGGAATATAATCGTGGATTCATGGAATAAGACGATGTATCAAGATCAGAAGTAGGGTAAACTCTCCAGAACATGTATAACATATAGTTGAGAGTGGGCGGCACAAAAGGCACACGCTGTATTTATAGACAATGCCCACAAAGTACGCGTACTTACGTATGTACGTAATATTAGTCACATCGAGGTAAAGACAAGTGTTGGGACACTGGCCGACCATAGACGCACACAGAAACCTTTGTAAAGCAGATGTTTATACATAGTTTTATCAACCGCTTTACTTACAACCACTTACCTTATGTACTGAATAATTAAATTATTTTGTTAGAATAAATATGTACGTACTTTCAAATATTCGTTGAAAGCTGATATTGGCATTGAATGTGAATGTCATTCGGCTTTTTTTTAATTCAGTGTTCAATTTATTACTTTCATAACTCTACAGTACCTACATAGTTACTTTCAGATACCAATCTCAGTGTATCGAGTAAATATCACTTGATATGTACATTGTACATTATAATAAAAATATAAACAAATGGAATGGACACTGGCCTTATATGCTAGGCTTATATAAATATACAATAGTTGTATATGTGTTGCACGCGATTCCAGAAACCGGAATGCATTTAACATCAACAATGGAATAATTCTGGTAATTTAATGCTGTATGACCCTTCTATATCGCGTGTGCCTTTTAAAATCTATAAAAGCACCTCTGTTTTATGGCAGAAAGTATTTTTTTGTACTAACGTTTGCCTATTATCCAATTATACAATCGCATTCACCATTTTAAACATATTTTCATTAATTGTTGTTTATTAAAAGCTAAAACAATAACGTTACGTGTAAAAGGAAATAATGAAAAATATTTTTTAGAGTGAATTAATTCGTTTTATGAATAGTAGGTAGAGCGAGTGTACAAAACAATTGGAGGAAATGTGATGTTAAGAAATTATTGTAAAAGTGCCTACTTTATTACTTCATAATAACGAAAAACAATAAAAACCTTTTGCTTCCTTATATGAATATGCAAAGAGGTTTCCAATTAAAATGGGAAAATCTACGGAAAAAGATGAAAAAATTATAGGCATTTGTTAAGATTAATAACGGTTCTGAAAGCAAGAAACAAAATTGCACTTTATGAAGCAAGTAAACTCTTTTGATGAACATGTTAACTGCTGCATGCCCTTAACGCAAAAAGACGGAATTTGAAATTTAACTCAGTAACTATAAACAATTAAGTTTAAAATACGTTGTGTCTCATTTATGTTTTGGTTATGTCAGTTATTTCGTTTGACTAGTGTAACAGCAATTGGACATCAAATTAACTTCATACAACTGGTATTCTAAATGTACAGATATGTTTTCAGAATCAGAATAACTCTTTCAGGGCTGTCTGTGTATTTGACTGAAACTTTCCATTTCAGTAACAAGTCGTGGATGTTTTTAGTGTGAACATGAACAGAGTTATATTCAATTACGATCTGAGTGATATAATATGAGCATAGGTAGTCTGTCTAATATAAGTAGTAAATCAAAAACTCGTATTGCCGGAACTACATTCCCGGAGTTCCGTAAATCCGTAGTTAACATCGTTTTATCTCGTTTTAGTATTCGGGCGCGCGGAAAATAATAAAAAAGAATCATGAATCGTTATGGGAACAAAAAACGTTTACAAAGGTGGTAGCCCTAGTTGTTGGGGTGTGCGATGGGGGTGGGGCCCGGCCACCTGTGAGCGTACCGCTCGCGCAACGGTCGAGGGTTGCGCGCCAAAGTATGTTAATTAATTTTCGGTTGACCGTCCAGTGCTCTACGGGTTTGCTCAAATCGGCCCACCGTGCGGTTTTCGTATATTTTGTTTTCAACATGAAAGGTCAGTCGTGTAATCCAACAATATTGTTAATACGCAATACAGTAACCCGCCGTTTGTGGTTTGTTGTTAATAAATTCGTAATTTATCTGTAAAGTTTATGTTTATTAAATTAATTACGCGATTAAATTAAACTCAAAGTATTCAGCCACGAGTAAATACGTAAAATTATCAGTAAACATTAAACAACTCGTTGACAAAACATGCGTGTATAGTGTAGTTCATACATAATCTTCGATTTTACCGTCGCCGCCTGAGTTCAATTAATAATTCAATAGCGTAAACCGCCGCTAGGAAATGGGGCAATGGGTTTTTATTAATTCCTCTTCAGAATATTAAAGTGGGATGGGATGATTAATGATTCAGCACGATTATTATGTTTATTAAAATCTGCGCGTGCGGTGGCACAATCAAGCCGCTCACAAAGATGTTTACTGGTCGGCCTGAATGTTTACAAACGCGACGTGTACGACACAAAGGCTGGTGCGTCGTGCGTGGTGTGGCTGCCGGCCACGTGGCGCGTGCACTATGCACTGTCTATGGAGTACACTCTCCAAGTCATCATTACGTCGGTCACTAGCCCACAGAATGCCATACAATGCTGTAACCCTCTAGTGAGCCCAACCGTGTCTATCGCCGGCAGCCGCTGCGTCAGACGGTCAGCAATATCGTAGATCGCTCATATGCAAACGTCAAACGTTATGCAACGCAATAAAATCGTTTTACTGTTTTTGCATGGATTACAATTCAGGTACTTACGCGATGATAATAATGTGCAGTTTTTAAATTACCTCTACACAAAGAATCTAGAAATGACGACATTACATGCGTATGAATTTCAATGTTTAATTTCAATTATTAATGTTAATTTTCAATTATATTAGCGCTTTTCAGTACACGCTATTTTATAGAAAATTAATTTTTCCATGCTAGTTTATATTTTGTCAAGAGACTGATCGGTGAATCGGCCGAGCTCATGAAATAAACTTTTTGGCACTCTGACCCTGGCAACAGATTGGGAAGCGCTTGATAGAAGGCGAAAAAAACGAATGATTCACTACTAGTGATTCAACTTTCCAAGGATTTCTGTGGATTGAGAGGCAATGAAAATATTCATGAGATGAAGCTTCTGTTCCTCCCGAAACTGTCAAAAATAATTAAGATAACAATATGAATATTAAAACTTCAAACTGCAACGTATTTTAAATGATTGATGCCACTTTTTTATGTTTTAAAGTAACCAAATCCATGAAGACGATCAAGAGATCTCACCTCTGAGTCACGTAGCCGCCTGCCAACATCGAATAATACTAATACAAAGCATAGGTATTTATGTAGAGTGCTACGCCAATTTAGACTTTGATTCAATACGACAACAGATCGCTAGTAAGCATAGGAGATGTGAATCATCGCACTCGCTCCGCCAGCTGCGAATTAAGACTCAGATTGCAAGTTCTCAGCAAATGTCTTTAGTCGTCTTGCAACATTAGCTGTAAATACTAAACATTATCACATTTGAAGTGTACGTGCGGACGAATTCTCGTGTTGTCGAAAAATCTGCATAATACTCGTCACAGAATCTTTTCACGCGACGCGAAATTTTTGTTACCCTCACGAAATCGCTTTTCATGTCAACGTTTCTACTGTATGATTTATTTGTAAAAGAGTTTGTATTTCACTCCACTGACATGTGAGTGCTGAGCTACCTTTTCTTTATTTTCTAATTTGTCCATGAAGATAAATATGTTACTTGAAATCTTTGACATACCAGCCATTCCTTGCCGGTACGGCTCGAGACTCTTCCCACTATTGCTAGTGCCGTTCGTATGTGAAGAAATACCAGACTGAAGTCACTTGAGAAAAGAAAACCTCTTTGGATAATAATCCTGTGTATTTTAGATTCTAAGTCAATGTGAAAACTTAGATAGGTTTAAATTATGTTTTGATTAAACCCCCATGAAAACATATAAATTTTGCAGGACACATAGAACTGATAATATCGCAGCACCACTATAAATACTGCAAATAGTTACTTATGTTCGATTGTCACGTAAAATGTTCGAGAATCACGCGAAGGGCTTCATTGCAAGTGTTTATTTTGATTTATCAAACGTAAACATTCACTTTACTTTCTCATCCTTTAAGTATAAATAGTAGCGGTGACTGTGTCGTGAGAAAAGGACGGAGGTAACTGTTTTACAATACAATTATGTATATCGACCCTTAAGAAATATGTACGAGGTTCTTTGCCTTTGTTTGTTGTGCAGTTATATAATCTAATGAGTAAATATAATTAGCGAAACGGGTTTGTTTACATAATGCACATGTGCAGCAATAAAATATGCATAAATTAATTATTATGGGCAAAGTTCACAGTCTGCTGAATTAACATTATGAGTATTATCATAGATTACTCAACAATTATAACTGGATGCTGTTACAACAAACTTTTCCTATTATTTGATATCAAATTGCATAATATATCAGTGAAACACGCTTCACACAAGTTTTCGCAAATTAAGTTATGCAGCAGCATTGGGATTAAACATCATCTTAGAAATTCAAAAATAATTTTATGTGTTAGCACCCCACCCTAAAGAAATACTAATAATATCTAAATACTACACGGAGCATCAGATGAGGAAAGAGGTTAGTAAAAGACAAGCTAGGTTATCATTTTATATGCTCGTTAGTATAAAGTATCTAATACATAAATCAGTTCATTTTCATACATATACAAAATCCCTAAAAAAAAGTTAGCAACACGGTCCCAAGGGAAAAATGTAGGCAAATGAGTACCATGAAGCACAAAATCTAATTGGTTTTGGGTCCTCTGAATTTGACCCTTCTTGAACATATCCAATAAAGCGAGCGGGATATTACTCAAATATGATATAGATGGCTTGGTAACAAAGAGATACTTATGAAATTAAGGCGATAAATCAGCGTGGTCTGAGCGAAGCGGGCCATGAATGAGTACGGGAACAACGGCGTTATATGTAAATAATGTCGTATGCCGACGCCCGACGGCCGCTCGCCTGAATATAAAGTAATATGTCACAGGACATTACATGCCAAGTGATCGAGTACTAATAGTCTCAGGGACTTCCACCACATTATAATTGATAAACTGACAATGTAACTACACAGTCAATATTAAATTGCCAGCTAGGCATCAATGTATCGAAAGAAAGTTGGACTTGAAGAGTGTTCAGGCATAAAAGGTGAATGGTATAAGACGATTGGTTTTGCAAAACGGACGTTCAAATTACTTTTCGTATGGCGTAAATGAGAGGCGTCAGCGCGGAACGTGGCCGCAACTTGCAGAGATAACAACTGACTGTAGCCTGTAGCCGACCACAGAAGCGTTAAGCGATAAATGTATGGCTTGACTACGAAATAGCCATTAAGTCGTTTGGACTTCACCGTGTTTGTTGTCTGAACGTTTTCCAGTATTAGTTTAAAGCAAGACAGGCAAATTGTAATGGCGGGGTCATTAGAGTAATGACTGTTCTTTGAAAAGATTTTTACTTGTCTTACCTCGCGGTCGGTATGATTGATTTGCGTCGACTATCTTTTCTAATAAATATTGCGTTGTGTAAGGAAACTCGAATCTTATTAATTAAAACTATCTATTAGTTTTTCCCACTCGGTTATTCTATTGTTCATTTGTTTTTTTTTTTTAATCAATGGACAGAACACGACGATCTGAAGTAATCGACATGATAGTTGAACAGCCACACTAGAGCGGATATGTAGGTCTACTACGTGCGGACTTGCTTACACCGACATACAATATTGTGTTGTATTTGTTGTTGCAGAAACCACACACAATAAATACACACATGTACTTATAAATATAAATCATTGGGCCTTCAACTATTAAGTGGTATCCCTTTATTCAAAGAAGAAAAATAAATTCGCAAAGAAAGCCCCAACCATGCACATAAGGGAAAAATTCTAAAAACTCAACCCATTCAATATATTTTGATCTTTAATATTCGCCGTCCGTACAGTGTTCAAACGTGACCTGAACTCTTTCCTATTGTGGTTCAATATCATACGGCGACGTCAAAAACAATGAATTCATGACCAACTTCCAGCAGAGTGCGTGAGTTTGGAACGCCCGCCATCTGAATATTGAGTAATAGTTAGTTTAATGTACATATTAAAGCTCCCAACTGCGTCTAATGTACGTACAAGCACAAAGCTACCACGAAATGTATGTACAAATATTAGTCAGACATCGAGCCAGTTAGATCGTGTTTATTTCATTACGCTCGCAGTCTCTTGTATGTGTAGGTACCTAATGAAGGGAATCTGAGAGCTTTAGCGAGATCAAGGTGCGCTGATAATCGAATTAATTTGAACTGCACTGAAGCCAGCTATGTTGCCGACAGAGGACTTAACTAAGTTTATGAGTATGCTAGGTACGCTCTTAGCGTGCAACAAGTTTGATGGGAACATCTTGAGTGCTTTGAAATCGGTTAAGCTATACAGAACCGTTCAACTGTTGTGTTCAATAGTTTGGTGCTCTTCAGAGTGTGTAGCCGAGCGCCAAGTTGGATACTGTGTTTCTCTAATTCAGCTGTAGGGTCGTAAAATGATCATAGCCGGTGCAATTAGTACTAACGGTTGTGGTGTATAGCCCAGCTGCGATGTGATGGCGGGAGACAATTGCTGTCGACAATTCGCGAGGGTTCAATGACCACTCGGACGATGCGAGTAAGACGCGCTCAAACACAGCGATTTTCTTCTAGAAAGTATGAGCGTTGTTGTCGTGGAACATCTATGTTTTAGCAGATTGCTCTAGGAAGCACTTATTGATAGGCGGGAAATTACATTTAACTCCGGTTTTTTTCCTGCGGCGATGTGAATATACAAGTAGCTCCAACGTGGTGTGATCAGGCTTTGTCGATGTAATAGTGATTCATGTCTGAGCCTATTTCAACGATTTACTGCACAGTTAAAGAAATAAAACTTCAATAACAGGAAATTAATTGATAGTGTAAATGACATGACTATACAGTATAGCCATAGACGGGCAGGCCAGCATTGTGGTCCGTTTATGATTCTCACAGTAATTATAGTTGCCATAGTAAATCAGCGCAATAATATTTCTCGACGGTATCAGGTATAATTGGATCGCAATGCGAGTAGCATCTATGCGGAAGAACGGGAGCAACATCTCTTGTTACATTCTGTGTCTTATTCTGAGAACACCATGGGAATACATCGGCGTGCTTGAAACAACATAAATATCAGCCTGCACATAAAAGTCATTGTTCACGGCTTTCATTTAAACTATCTTTTAATTTAATGTCCACACAAATTTTCCTAATTATATTCTGAGAATTAAATACTGTAATAAAAATATTTGCTCAACTCTTTCACATGCACGCAGGTAGGTAATGGCAATTCTTGAATTAAATTAGCAGTTTAGTAATTAGCTTTAGCATTATAATAAGCTGCGTTAACTTCACAAGTTTTATTAGAATCTGATTATAAGAAGGAGACTTAAAACGTTTACCTCTTTAAGGAAGATTTTAAAAACAAACAAAGTTTGTCACAATGCAGCTTTTAAACCACACCAAAATATTTCCATTAAAATCGACGGAGCACATGAGGTTAAGTGAAAAACTTGGAACAAAGGCTGGCGTGGTCGGCTTACTATTTAGTATGCATTTGGAAAGGAGTTGAGGCGAGAGCAATAAGTTTGAGCGCGCGATTTGCATAGATTGTGGCGCGCGGCGGCGCGGCGGCGGCGTGGCGGCGGCGCGGGCGCGTGTTTGGTGATTTACTTGGTCGGCCGCGTGGGCGACGGCCAGATAACACCTGCACTGCTATTATGATGACACCTCCACGAACTGAGCCGTACAAGCACGAACACAACAAAAACTGTACATCACTTTAAAAGGAGGAAGGAAACCTTAAGATATAGGACAAGGGAATGGCATTAAAAAGTAAACTTTCTTATTTTCTTTCTTCTCTGTATAATATTATTTATTGAGTTTCCTGAAGAGAGATGAGCATTAAGGCGAGGAGTTGCTGTCTTCTATAAAGATTGTTGACATTTGGGCCGCTAACTACTTGTTTAATGTTGTTAATTAAGCGTTATAAAACATGTTGAAAGCGAAATGGCAAAACGAATTAATCCATTTAAGGAAAACTGGGCTTAAAATTAGTATGTACGTGAATTAAGAAAAACAATAGTAAGTCATAATCATAAGTGGTGTCTGTCTCGTAGGCTGTACTGTATGGCGCGCCTGCTTGTGGCTAAATTACACTCATTTACCGCAGCAACAACGTTCGTGGCATGTGCAAAATGTTGCCAGCGACGATTAGCAGAATTCCTACCTCGCAATAGAACATATAAATGCTAAAAAACAAGGCCCTTGCGACACACATATGTACTTAATGACTGGATAGGTTAGTTGTTTTGTAGATTTTCCATTTACGTCCATCATTCCCTTGTGTGATGCATCAACCACCAACCGAGATAATGTTCTGTCATTCTGTCAGTTTTATTTACCTGTATCGGTGATTGAGTAAGAATCTTAATTAGCTACGGCGAAGTATTAGAAATAATAGGCATAGCCTGTTGTGTAGCTGATTTAATGATTTGCAGTTGCCATGTTACACAATAAGTTCGCTAATGGAATTGATAGCAGTAATTAGAGAATGAGCGGCTGCGACAGCCTGCGGCACGATCCATGGGGTTTCGACACAGACAATCGCAGGCACGTTTACTATGCGGGTTATTATAAAGTGCAAT